TCAAATGGGCAACTGTGCCCTTCTGCACTTATTATCTCAATAAGAAATTATTGTAAGAGTTCTGTGATAAAAGGAATTTCCACTGATTTCGTAATGGAACGTTATATTGCAAAACATGACATTATACAGAAGAAAATCAATTTTAAAATCAGAAAATGACATTGCAAATACTTCTTTTGAACAATTCAGTAACTCCCAATAAATATGTGTTCTTTAAAACACAATTTAAAAATTAACAGCTGTTTCATTAAAAAGTATTATCCACATGGCCAAAATGTAAACAGTAGTTTGTGATTGACGGCCTAAAACTGAATCCCAGCTCCATGAATTGTCTGTTATTTTCCGTTTAAAGTTCCAATAATTGCATCTACCCGACTCAGTGATAAAGTGATTAAGCACCAACCACTGCAGGGTTCAGTTAATATGTTATCAATGGATGCAGAGAAATTACTAATTATTTTCTCAACTGCAGTTTAACAGTTACATTTTACTTTCTCCTTTGACAGTATTTTTGTATTGATTTTAGGGCAACCTTGTGCAAAATTAAATTAGGAGAATGTTTTGGTTTTGAATATCTCGGTCGTGGGATTTTCAAGCAATCCACTCGTGTGTTACATCATGGATGAATAAAATATTGAGGTTGTATTAAAACATGAATGTTCTCTTTATATCCAGTGCAGCACATGGTTTTTAGGATGAAAGTAGTTTAATTTATATTTAACCCTTCGTCAATCATCGGTTAGGTTACACGATCGGGGACACACAGAGTTTTTTTTTTTTTTGGGTGTTGAAATATTAGACGACATTTTTTTTACATTTAATACAAAAACTTATTGAAGCCATTTTTATATAATCAATAAAATTGTACATGAAATCAACAAAAACTCTTACTTTACATATTTGTACAAATATTTAGCAAACAAAAACAACAACACCATCAGTGACTCACGGAGGTTGTCTGTGCTATGTGACTCTTGGCTTTAACTGAATAATAGCGGTTTTTCACGGGAGGTGAGATCAAATAAATGTTCAATCCGTTCCTAGAAAGATGCACGTGAGGTACTGTTACTCCTAGCTGGCGGCTGGCGATATCACATATTTTCCTACATAAACAAATGCGCCCGAGGAAAACTCTGTAGTTTCACCAATGGAGGGTTATAAGTACAAAACTTAGTTGTTTCATGAAGAAAACTATAAAATTAGCAATTGTCAAATTCAACAACCATAATCTTGCTAGTCTTGTAGTGAATAAATAGCTGAGTTGTATATTTTGTTTAACTGGTAATCAAAAAGGTTGTCGGTTCGATCCTGAGAAAAAACAGTAGCTTTTTGATGGTACGAAACTGGACCCAGCTGTTCCTGATCATTAGGCTTTAGAAAAATTACTATCACTGAGATGAAACAGCTGATCGTAGTCAGTAACAAAGCTACACAGACCATCTCACATCATTCTACACTCATCCTTCACTCATTTGGGTTAAAATACACACAAAGGTGGCGCGTCCCCAACCCAATCGATAGATAATAAAGATTATGATGATTATTCTCCATTGTTAAACATACTACTTTATATTACAATACAAAATAATTTCTATATTTTAAAAACATTACAGTATAATTAAGATAAAACATTAAAAATAATGAGGAATAAATCTGATCAATTTCTCATCTACTTTAAAAAAATGTTTTAAGTCACAAAGGTCATCTCTTGAACTTTTGCTGACAGTCTTGTTATCGCAGCTGAGCTGTAACAATATTTCCAATATGACTCAGAAATTCCCAAAATTTTAATGTGTTGTTTGTTGATTTGAAATAACTTTTAATTGTGCGGCATTTGGTTACGTAACCACAAAAAATTTGTTCAAAACATTGGGGTTTTTTACAGTAGTAAGCTAGCTATGTGTTGAGAAGTAGTTGGTCAGAAGAATTTCATGTTTTATGTATGTTGTTAATGTAAAATAACAAAATTATGTCCCCAGTACTGGATCATTCAACAAATCACATAGCGTTAAATAATGGGTTTTGTGGTTTTAACTCTCTCCCACCATAATTCTTGATGAAAAATCTTATAATTTATTTTTATTTTAATAACTAGGCATATTTAAACTAAAAGTATTGGTTTAAATAGTTTCAGATTCAAAAATGGTTTCTCTTGATATTTGTTCATCAAAGTTGACACAAGCTCAAGCTTAAAAACCGAGGTGAAGCTAGGGTTGGAACATGAGCGAAGGTTTAAATGACACTTTTGACTTGCGTGGTGAACTATATTTTTTGTCACACTACCCCCCCCCCCCCCCTTTGTTCAGTACCTTATAACACGAAATAATAATTTTGGAAATTTTCACCTTTGTTAAAAAATGACTGAGTTTTTTACATTTAAAATTATATAGTAAATAGTAATGTATACAGTAAAATTATTTATAATTATATAGTATACATTTTGATAACCGGTTATTTATTGTAGTGAAATAGAAGAGTACATGACTTGATAAAAACACAAAAATGTATAACCATACCACTGTATAGGTATTTATTAATCAAAGCAATTGATTAATTAGCAGTTTATTAATAACACAATTTATTTTTCTGTACCATTAGAGACAAAATTTAGAAGCAAGAAAAATAAACGGTATCAGCAATATAACACACTTTCTCCCATTAGCTTGTCAATATCCCTTATCATTGGTAAGCAGTGGGAGTAGGTGTGTGATTTTTTAAGTTTTATTTTTTTTTTTAGTTTTAACGAAGGTGTACCATTATCTTAAGGGTTAAATTGTTATCAAACCTGTTCAGATGAATATTCAAAAAATCTAATTTTTCCCTTAAATAGTGGGTTAGTATTTTCCTTGGTGGGTTTGCATGGGAAAACTATCATTAAAAATCAAAATTTCCAAAAAATGAAAAAAAAACTTTAGGTGATACTATGGATTCGTACCTTCTTACCAAATTTCATAAAAATTGGACCACAGGTGTGGTCGCTCTGTGCGCATCCATATAGAGACAGACATCACTTTGTAAACTACTTTTTTGGGTTCAGGGGAACCAAAAACTGATATACCAACCCAAACTCACTCAAAAATTTTGACAAAAACAATACTTTCTCCATATACTATATATAGGAGGAGAAACTAATCTACTGTTAATGGCCTTGATTCCAGTTGATTTTTTTTGTTTACACTAAAGATAACTCAGAGTTCAGCTGAATGTAACTATTGTGGTGTTGACGTTTGGGATTTCAAATATGAATTTAGATAAGTTGAGGACAATTTAAGTATTTTCCTGCTTTATTATCTGCAGTAGAATTAAAAGCAAATCTGTTATGAATTAGAAACCTGAACATTCATTGGAATACTTGGAAACAAACCTATTAGTGGAAACAAAGAGGTCATAACACTTTGCACAATGCTTTTATCAAAATCATATTACTGCGAAACTGTATGGTTGCCAGTGTTATCGTGTGAGCTTAAATTGATAAGGAATCCAAAAGCAAAAATAACCATGACGTAGTAGAAAAACTTGACATAATACTGAAATATTTTCATGATAATATGGCCTTTGAATTACCAATTAAAATTGAAAATGGTATACATACCTGTTTAAGTTAATCCCTTATGTACCATCTTATTTTTGTGCCTATTATGTAGTTATATTCTGCTGAAGATTGTCAAAAAAAAAATCAAAAAAGTGCACCGTTATTCGCACACATATGACATGGAACATAATTTTTGTCATCATTTGTCATCTGATATTCACGACATGCCTCAGCGAAGATTTAATATATTCACACCGGAGTCGCAACATTTAAAGAATAGAAAAAAGTAATAATTCCAAAAAAATGTATAAAATTATAAAACTTGTATTTTAAAGAAATTAAATTTTAAGATTTACATGTCAGCTAATTTATAAAAAAAATTATCAAAAGCCACCCCACATTTTAAATTAGCAAGCATTTCATCCTATAAAATGTCAACATATTCTAACTTTGCTTTTGCAAATTTCTCTAGATTTCAGAAGAGTTCCTGGATCTGTTTACTTGTAAGTCTTAATCTGTGAGTGACAAGGAGTTAGAAAAACGATGATTAAATGTCTTAGATAAGTTTATGTGCTTAACAAACCAAAGGTTCAGTGTCCAAGATTTGCATATCCCATTGGTCAGTAGCATTGCAGACTCCCTTCAACAGAGAATGCTCAATCCCTTCTCCAGCGAGAAGAAAATATTTGTGATCCATAGTCTTCAAGAACTTTTTTAAAGTAAGCGCTTTGTTTTTTTTAAGTAGTTCTCAATTAAATATGCATTAAATAGCTTTAGTTATTAGTCTACTTGAACTGCTAGTGTGTTTCAGTTTAATTTTGACAGATACTTTCAGTACTAATTAATGATTTTAAACCATTGAGTAACTTGGAAAGGGGTATTTTAAAATTGTTTTTGCTATTTGAATGTTTTCTTAAACAATTTACTTACGGCACAAATTGTTAAATTTGAGAATGCCAATTTGGAAAGAGGGTTTTATAAATTTGTGTCATTACTAGATAAAATAATTTAGTTTTGAGACAAAACAATTTTCTTTAGAGAACCAGCCTTGGAATCATAAAAAAGATTGCTGTATTTTATTTTATTTTTCGTAGCTCAAAATTGTATTATAAAATTAAATATTGCTTAGTAGAATATCACTATCACATACAAAATATTTAAAAATTATTTACACATTTTTCCAGTGGAAAGTGATAATTGAAAGTAACTATGAAAGTATTGAAGAGGTAGCAGAAAAATATATTACTGCTGATGCCAACCAAATTCATGCTCTAAAAATCTTACCCCAATAAACGGACATAGCAATAATCTGAACAGCAAAAATAAAATACACCTCCTTTAATTTGGAAGTAAACATACAAAGAATTTACCACATACTTCCCCACCCTTGTCAGAATCAGGGAAATGTAAACTTTGAGAATTGAACTTTGAGAATTACATAATTACTTGCAGTTGGCAGCAGTGGTTGAGAGGTTATATAGTTACCGCAGTGCCTGCCTGCGCTGTCAGTGAGTCCTGTTAGCCAGTGCCACGACATGGAGAAGCGGTGGAGGACTTCTTCTTTATTGATAGCGACGCTCTTCTGTCTTGCCATCACCTCTCGGGCAGGTAAATAAAAAAAATTATTTGTAATTAATTATTGTGAAAAAATATTCTTTAATTATTGTTTTTGATTTGGGAAATAGATAGTCTTAGTCTAGTTGTATTCCACATTCCACATTGAGTACATTTTTTTTATTATAGTACTCGCCTTGTGCTAAGCTGTATGACAACATAACTGAAGAGTTTAGAAATTAGCTCACTGCCTTGTGTCAAATACAAGGCTACCATAAAATGCTTTACTATTTAAAGTTGTCAAAATAGATTCAGGAATAAGCAAAATTTGGGACAAACCAATTATTTTTACCCTGTACCTAGACAGGAAAATTGTAAATAAAAAGTCAAATTGAATAATATTGTAGAAAAAGCAATTACTAAGCACAGAAATAATTCAAATAAATTATATTGACTTAAAAATTAAATAACACTTCCATAACTATTATTATAGTAACATTGTCATTGACATTTTTAATTTATTTCATACATTAATGGGCGAGTATTTCAATAATTTGTTTGGTTTGAGAATTATATTCAGTTGTATATTAAATACATGCATAAATATTTTTATTTATGTTTTTGGCATTTTGTATTAAATTTATTTATTTTTTGTCTCAACATTTTTAAAATTAACAATGATTCTTTTATACACATTCCTAAATGTAGGTAGATTTACAAATTAAAAAATAAACATCCTAGATTAAGTAGACCTGTTGAACCATTCAATCTAAAGTTTTTTTAAAGAAGGCTAAGTTTCATGGGCACTAAGTCTTTATTTGCGCTACCAACAAACATTAGGAATGAATCTGATTTAAAAAAAATTTCAATAAAAGTTAGAAGAATCTTTTGATAAATTTATCTTTAGTAACTGGATGAATACTGAAGTACAAAAAGAACGTAGTTAAAGCAATGTCAAAGTAAGTAGTCTTTAACATTTTTATTTCAATTTAATTTTCTGTAATTCTTCTCATCGGTCCAATAATCTCTATTTTAATTTGTAAGTAGACTTAAACATTATTTGACACTATTTTATTAAGTGACTGTACATTGAAAAAAATAGAGAATTTTTGATTTGATCATATTGTTGTTTTTAAATTTGTTTTGGAAATTTCAATTTCTATCTCTTTATTTGTTGAGTAGTATACATTAGATGCATTTAGCATTTGAATAGTGTCAACGATTTTTTTATTAATACAAGTAAAAAATAAATTAAAAATAAAATTAAAAAATACAACTTTCTATATAAAAATTGTTTCCTTAATGTCTAGTATTCTTGAGGGAGGTGGAAAAATTCTACTAGAGAATAAATGGCCATGATCATTAAGAAATGTTTTAGTTTTGTTTTAATTTTTTATCTTTTTTATTTCTAATTTCTCTAGGGATATATATTTTTTATTTTTACCAGCAAATGGTCAAGAAATAAAGTTTCAATGAAAATTTTATAAAGTTTATAAAATGTATCTTAAAGATAGTTCCTGGAATTTCTGCAATTAGGTATATTGGAAGTTCAGATTTTTCATTTTAATTTGGACTGCAAGAAGTACTACTATATTGTGAAAATTACCTTGAACAATTACTCATTCATAATATTTTTGACTATTATTTTTTTCATATATTAATTTTTCATAAACAAGATTGTATGTGTTTTAGTCTCTGGCATTTTTACTTGTCCACACAGCTTGTTATCCTTAAACTTTTTCTTTCTTAAGAACTATTAGTATGAAACAACAGATTAATTAATAATGTAACATCTGAATGAAACTAAACCAAGGTCAAAACATTTTTTTACTAGAAATAGATACATGCATAATCATGTCTTTAATTACAACTGAAAATAAATAAATAAGTACCTATGGGATTTTTTTTACAGATAAATAAAAGTAGGATAGTGAAAAAAAACAGTGGAAAGTAATAAAACTCTTCTATTAAATAATTTATTTCCCCATAATCTGCAAGCTCAAAGAAACAAAGAAAGTAATATAATTTGTCCTCCATTTTAAGATTGTTATGTAGTTTTTGTAACCGGAACTTCTGTCCTTTTTCAATCATATATTTTTATAAAGAGTAAACCTATATACATAACCTGTATGATTAGTATTTCAATAATCAGAGAAATGCTATCAACTGACCATTTCAACATAAATCAATTTTTAACTAGATTTCTATTTATCACTTGCCTTTTAACCTTGACTTTGAACTCTAAATGATAACTAGAGTGTAGGTCATTATTTTCTCCGTCTGTGCAATTTTTTCTGGAATTTTGCCAAGGAAGTTGAAAAACAAATTACTTAAGATTGATTACGTAACTGCTTATCGCATTGTTGAAAAATCTAGGAATATTAATTCAAAGTGAATTACCCATCTTATTGTTGAATAGGTCATTGATCCTCTAAAGGTATAATAGTAATACCTCTGCCGCAGCAAACCTGCAGAATAAGCCATTTCCTTTTACCTGGTTGGATTTTCACAATAATATTCTCCTAAAATAGTCTTATTAATTTTATTTTTAAATAACTCTAATTCTTATGAGTACTTAGGTTTGCTGTTACAGGGAATCTAATAAGGTGTGTTTTTTTTACAGCATAAAAGCATTTACATAATGCAACTTCTAAAAAATAATTTTAAAATGAGTTGAACGAAACCAAATAGTTTAATTCACTCGCTGATTGTTGATCATGGACAAGACTTGTTCAGGAACCATGTTAATATATAAAGCCTAAAATGACTGTGTTGCAATTCCATAAAAAACCAGCTTGATCCTCTATTTAAAAAATAATTGGTTGTTTTAAATTGAGCAATGATTAAGTAGGAATCCCGCGGTAATTTTATGAAACTATTCTCTTTTGGTTTCTAACATTCAATTTTGTTTGTTTCAGAACCAACATGTAAAAGCTGCAGAGGTGGTAAGTACAAATAGTAAAAATAGTAGTGACCATTCAGCTTGTATGATTATCCACTTCAGTATAAATGTTTGCATTGATATCGATAAGCTATAATTGTTTCGACTGTATAATTGTTAAGTACAGATCAATTATGCTCGCTGGGGGAGTGAGTTGGTCTAGTGGTAGAGCGCGGGAGTTTGGTCCGTGAGGTCCTGGGTTCGAATCCCGCCAATCACGAATGGATTTATCAAAGTGATAATGCCGCAAATTGGTACTTTAGGTCTAGCCTGAAGTAATGTGAAAAAACAATTCCGGGATTGTGCCTAGCATCCTAGGACAAAAAAGTACAGACTTAATTTTGGGAGTGTAGTACCTCCACATCGTGTGTCAAAACGTTAGGGTGAAAATCTTTTGAACTTTTTAAGCCACTTCTTTTATTAGTTACCGTCACCATAACCATCTGTTTCCCTAAATAAAATTTTAAAAGCTTTAAGTTTTGAAAACAACTAATTGTTATGTAGTGATATAAACACCTTCAAGAATGAATAACAGATAAAATTATGTTAATTTGAAAGCCAACCATAAACATTATGTTTTCCCTGCTTTTATAAGTTACTTTATGTCGGGGCCAAACTTTGATGTTACATGAATATATCTTGAAAAGGATGTGACACAAGGTAAAAGTCTGTCTATTAATTACAAACTTGCCATAGTACCCAAGTTAAATTCAATGAAAATGTATTTTTGATTTCAGTAAATTTTACTTCCCTAACCTTGTATTCAAATAATTGAAGTATGTCTTCAACTGTTGTGTGAATGTTCTTAATGACAATCAAAAGGTGGCTGGTTCGATCCTGAGAAAAGTCAGTAGCTTTTTGATGGTTGAAAACTGGACACAGCTGCTCCTGATCATTGGGCTTTAAACAAATGATCATGGCTAATGAAACAGCTGATCTTAGTCAGTAACAAAGCTACAAAGATCATCTCACTCCATTCTGCACTCATCCTTCATTCATATTTGGGTTAAAATACACACCTAGGTGGCGTCCCCAACTCAATGATTGATAACTGATTCAAAACATTTCTAGTGTTATGCATAACAGAAGTATCTTAAATAAGGACAATCTGTTGGAATGATGTAAATGTTTAGTAATTAATTTGAAATACTTCATAAATTTTTTTCCCTGATAACCAGCACACACTCAATACAACACACAACAGCTCAGATGAAGTATTACTGCCTTGTGTCAAGGATCTAGATTTTTATTTTTTTTTGCACCCAAGACCAATGTTTAAAAAAAAAACTTATTTTTTATCAGGTAGATTTTTAAAATTGACACCGATCAGTTAACCAAAGACATATGAAATAACACATAAGTAACTGGTACCACAATCTAGGTACATAATAAATATCCACCCCCTTTCATATCTGATATGGAGAGTGTCTTATACACTTCGAAAATGTGTACATACCTTCAAAAGGTCCAGAAAGGGCATTTTAGCATTGACTACTGGATACTGAAGTAGACATCCCATCTATACAGACCATCTATCGCCAATTTTTTTTTCAAAAAAAGGACATAATTGTGTGAACCAGTAACAGAATGCATGTCTAAAATTCTATTTTCTACCGTATTTTTTGTTGCCGACCAAGTTTGTAGGTCATAATAGTTGCTATAGCTCATAATAATTCCACTACTTTGACCTGGTAAAAAAGTTTGCGTATTCGACATAAATTAGTAATTTAGATCAGCACAATCTTGTCGGTGGCTCACATCTACTACGACTATTTCGATTAAAAACCAACGACAACTTTAACATGAGGATGAAATGTCTAGTTTTATCAATAGTGAAAGATCTTAGCTACAAGGCTTTGCAAGTAAGTGATATACTTGCAAATCTACTTTTTGAATCAAATATGAATTTTCCCATTGTACTAGGGACTGTCTACAATGGGTTGGAAGGAAATGTTAAATGAGAGCATAGATCAAGCCATACACTGAATTGAAGGCCTCTATTAGGCAAACCCAACCTTAAAATGTGCTACTCAACTTATACCCTCTCTCATTTATGATTTCCTTCCCATTTCTCGTGGATTCCCAAGTTTGTTGTGAATATGATATTTTCTTCAAAAGTAGATTCTTAGGTGTAATGCGTATAAGCAAAGCAAACGATACTTTGCTTATACGCGTGTACTGCTTATAAAAGCACTACACCTAAAAATCTGTTCCATCTGCATCTGTTCAAAAAATAAAATGTTCCAGGACTTTTTGAGGATTCTGTATATCAATGTATAATGCTACTCAGCTGAGGAGCTGAGTATTCATAACACTCACATTATAATCAAAAGGTTGCTGGTTCAATTCTGTTAATGTCAGTAGATGGTTCGAAACTTTACCCAGCTGTTCTTGATCATTGGCCTTTAATGAATCCTGGCTAAAGATACAGTACACAACTACACAAGATGTTTCACTTTTATACACTTATCATTCAACAAATAAAAATGCCCCCAGTTGGGTTCCAATTTTAATTTGTAAAGATTTATATATTATTTTTATTTTATGTCCTGCATTGGATTACTTTAGTCGGGTTATATGTCAGGTTTTTATTTGACAGTAGACTCCCTCTTGTCCGGACTCCTCGGGACCGCGAGGCCAGTCCGGATAACGGGGCTTTCGGTTAATCCGACGTCCCCAAAAACTCGTTAAAACAGACAGTTTAAATTCATACTGTATACAGTATTTGACTTAAATTTAGGAGAGCATTGTATTTAGACACGTGATCACTGGTCTCAAATCTTTCCCATGAGAACAGTTGTTTCAGTACCGCCCAATTCCTGCTGTTCTGGTCCGGTTAAACCGATGTGCTGATACAAATTGTCCGGTTAAAGAGATGTCATTTTCAACGAGTGTAGTCTGGTTAAACCGATGTCCGGTTAAAAGGTGTCCGGATAAGAGGGAGTCTACTGTATTTAATTTTTTCAGCCCAATACTTCTTCATTCTTACTACCATAGTTTTTTTCTTCATCCGTAACCACTTCCAACTCCCTGTTTAATTTTTTTTCAACTGAGGTTTTCTATGTTTGTCTTTGAATAAGTTCAGTTATCCATCTTTTTCATATTTCCCAACATTTCTATTACTTTTCTGCTGGTGAGCCAAAGGTATAAACGTTTATTTTTCACTGCGCTCGTAACTTGTTTTATTTACTTATCAACTGTTTCATTAGATGCCGATCTATAGTTTATAATAATTGTGTACTGTTCAGTTGGTGGCCCGTTTGTGGAAGGCAATGTTTACAAGTACCAACTGGAAGGCTCGACTACCACTACTCTACCCGGTTCAGACAACGCTATAACAACTCTCGGTCTCTCAGCTACAGCCGAGGTCTTCGCCGAGTCCAAGTGCCAACATGTGCTCAAACTGTCCAACGTCGTAGTCTCTGGCCCCGACGGCAAGGTGAGAAATAGTCTTGGAACATTTGGACCTATCAGAGATTTTTAGGAATTTTTTTATCATTTCATCGTTGTGATTGATATATCAAGTGGGAAATTCCAACAAAGGTTATGACTTATTTAGTTTTGTGAAAACAGACAAAAATGAATGTGTGTGAGTCATAATACGCATACGCAGATGATTGACAGAACCCTCCAAAGTTCAAACAAAAATTTTTTGAATAAGTGAGTCTGCTGTAATTATAATAAATATTTGTAATAGTTTTGTATTTTTTACCATTTCAAAGAGTAATGTGGTAAAAGAATTATCAAATAATTAAATAACTTACGTCATCAATCCATAAATTGCTGTGGAGTACGCGTTTCAACCATCAGGTCATCCTCAGCTCCAGTGACAGTGGAGCTGAGGATGACCTGATGGTTGAAACGCGTACTCCACAGCAATTTATGGATTGATGACGTAAGTTATTTAATTATTTGATAACTCAATCCGTTGTGCTACAATCTCAACATTATGAAAGAATTATCAGTTTGCAACTTTATTAGCTGGATTTCAGCATGGATGATTAGGAATATGGAGATGAGAAATGACAAATGAGGATCTACATTTTAAAGGTAATTAATCAGAGTAAAATTAATTACATAGGCCTACTTACACAATCTTATAATTTTAGGATCATAACCTAACATAAATTCCCTACTTGGTAAAAAATTAACCACTTCCTTACTGTAAGGCTACTAAGCTGTCTTAACTTTTGAGCTGTAAAGCTCAATCAACCTGACATTGATACACGTATACCTTATAAATGCCTTCCTTAATCCACAGAAGTACGACGGACTGAGCGCTGAGTGCGCCAAACCAGTCAAGTTCTCGTACCAAGATGGCAAGTTGTTGGAGGTTTGCGCAGAAGCAGAGGACCGAGGCGCGGCGCTCAACATCAAGCGAGCCGTCATCTCACTGCTTAGCTCTGCCAAGCGAAGTGACCAAGGAACTGAATCTGGACATGAGGTGAGCTCACAGAATGTATTAGAGATGGAAAAACTGCTACTTTTCAGTAATAGTCAGGAACATTCCTTAGTATTTTGGTAATAGGTGGAATAACACTATTATATTTGTCACCTATGATTTCTCCCTCCAGCGTTATTTCACTTGTTAGGGTACTACGACTTAATTAAAATAATATGATTCTCAGTAAACTATTACCTAGCAGTAAACTATAATAGTATACTATTATCACAGGTATCTTGTAGATAAAGTTGGCACTTGCAATGGAATGTTTTATGTCACATAGGCATTTTACATTTACTATACGATAAAACCCCTTTTAACCACACACAGTTAAATAAAAACCAGGGTTTATTGAAAATGATACAACAGTTTAATTTTAAAATTAGCTAGACAACAGAAATTGTCCGTAGAGGCATTGGTAGTTGGCCAACGGAATTTGATGAAGCAGACGACGACCCAGATATCGTATGGTAGAGAAAAAAGTTGAGAAAAAACTGTTAATAATTTTTTTTAATAGAACTAATTTGAAATTTGAGAAAAAATAATTCAGAAAAATAGTTCAGATTGACATTTGTACATTTTATAAATATTACTCAGAAAGAGAGATGAAATATAAGGCAGAAGATGAAAAGAAGAGTCAGGCAATTAATGTAAGATATTATAGTGTTATTTTTAGTAGAACTAGACAAAACATGACACACTAGTTGCTTTAACATCTTCTCTAAACACACTAGTCTGGTGAATTCCCTGCACGTTCTATTACTTTCATATTGTAAAACTCCATTGTCATTCTCTGCTGCAAAGTAAATTTAGTAAGTTATCATTCTTTACTGTTTCACAGAATGACGTGTTTGGTATTTGCCCGACCGAGTTCTCCTTCTCCAAAGACGGAAGCAAGGTGACGATCCACAAGACCAGGAACCTCAACAGATGTGCGTTACGCGAAGACTTCAACTTCCCATTCCCCACCACGGCCTACCAGGCGGTGCAGAGCAGTGTGAGTATTGGAGTGGTAGTGATGTGTCAAAACCGAATCTCAAATCTGAAAACCATTAAAACTCTGGAAAAGTTTCGGTTTTGAGATTTGATCAGCTGATTGATGTAGATCAGCTGATCCCATCTATATGGACCGGATATATAAAATATTTGTTATTCAAATTGAACATAGTTGAATAATTTTCTGACAGAGTATGCTGCTATCAACATTCTGTTTAGGCCTATTTCTTGTTGTGTGTTTTTGATGTGACATGATAGATGCTATTGTTTACAGTAAGTTTTCCTGTTAGCTAAAAAGGCTGTACAATAGACAGTAATTTACTTCAGCAGACTCAATTGGTGGCTCAATTGAACTACGTTCATTCACATTAAAAAACTGGTTCACAACTTTAAACATGGGAACGAGTCACTTGTCTCAATAGTCAAAGACTAATCTCAATAGAAGTGATTACACCAAATTACATGATTAAAATTAAATCATTTTACCGTAGCAAAGTGTTTAACGCATGATTGTCGACAGTTTGGTGCGTTGGAGACCTCCCCGCTGTTGGGAGCTCAGCTGACGGTCGACCAGGAGCTGGAGGGAGGAGTGCTGAAGAAGGCCGCTGGTGAGGAAGTCTACGTCTACAGACCTCTCGTCAACCCTGAGGCGGGTGCCAAGGTCACTGTCAAGTACACTCTGGCCCTACAAGGTTCCGGCGCTGGCTCCATCCCTGGTGAGTCGTTAATTACCTAATTACAAATCAATTTAATCAGTTAAAATACAGTTCATGAATGACGATTTAAATATGAGGGACTTGGAATATTAACCATTTTTCTAGCGATGTGACGAGTTGAGTACACTCTTTCACTGAGGAATTAAGTTGACTTGATACTTTTGCCATGATACTAAAGTACTGGATTTGGTTGCTATTTCTTGGATTCGTCACTAGACGATTTTTTACGTTGCAATTTCAAGTTGGGTGTATGTAATGGAAACTTGGTTAGTTTTCAGAATTGCTACGATTCGCAGGTATAAGAGTCCAAATATGTGCGGAATCGAGTCTCAATAAACCACTGTGTGTCAACAGCTCCATGGTAGAGTACTTGAGTGATTCATGTTGAAGCAGAATTGATCTACTTGAGTACACTTAACACTCGACTCATCACATTACAACTGCTTCCCTGTAAATATCCAACAAATTCACTTCCATCGGCACAACACTAATGGTTTGTTTCCTGACAGCCAATGTGAACAGCCCCAAGGTAGTGTTCTATGAGAAGGCTCACGACGCTGATGGTGTGAAGAATGCTGATGCTATCAATGCAGCTCTGCAGAAGGCTACTGCAGCAGTGGAGCCAGTGGCTACTGCTGAGGCAGCCAAGTCGTTTGCTCACCTCGTGTACACCATCGAACAAGGCAGCAAGGCGGACATCCTGCAAGTCTACAACGGAGCCCAGGGCAAGACCGCCAAGTAAGATGATCTGTTCATTTTATAAGATAAATGTAGAACTAAATGTCAAATATTGGATTTTTCATGAGAAAACAATACTAAAATTGTTGCCAGTGGGAGATAATACCGTGTAAAAAATTAGTTTATCAAGGAAAGCAGAATGAAGGCATCAGTGGCGGTGACAAGGGGGGGGGGAGCTACAGAGGCAAAACCCCACCCCCATTGGACACTGGAAAAATGAACCTAGAAATATGTTCTATTCTAAAAACGTAACAAAGGTGTTTCTGTACCGTACTGTTTTATACCTTAAAAATGGCTTTAGTAAGTCACCAAACTGCTTTAAAAATACCAAATTTTCTAAGGGAGCACCCCTGAACCCCCATCTATTCTTGATAGCGTGGGACACCCCCTGGCAGCCCCCCCCCCTTGACAAGGGCCTAGAACTGTTACTGAAAAGCATACTGTGGTATCTTGTTGTGGGTTTAAGTTTTTCTGTGTTTAGCTTATGACGTTTTCAATTCACAAGGCCTGTTCTTTGCAGACATTGCAAATTTTGTGGTCAATAATGCCCTACCTAAAAGTTTCAGTAATTTTATCAGATGTATCTATTATTGCAATTATTGATTCAAAAACTCACTATGTTGTATGAATGTAAAATATTTATGTTTGCTTGGTAGGAACCTGTTCCTGGATGGACTACTGTACGCAGGCAGCGCAGAGTCTGTTGAAGCCGCCGCAGAACTGCTCAGCTCCCAACAAATTCCCGCAGATGCTGCTCTGCGTTGGTACCTGGACCTCAACTTTGTCAAACACACATCCAGAGGCTCACTGAAGGCTCTCCTGGTAAGTTTGAACTTGGGGGCTTATCTACAAAAATTTAAATTAGGTTCTTAGCATGTTTGATGTACATAAACAGATATCAATCAAATTGATTTAAATACCTCCTGTTAAACACTTTTTTCTTTTTCATAGACCTTTTCTTTTCCCCTTGACCTGTCGATTTAATTGATTATTTATCATATGTGTAATTATTTATCATATGTTATTTTTCTGTTTACTTTTCAATATACATTGTTTTTCTTGCTCATGTTAACACTTTTATAATTATTTAAATATTTTTACATTTCCTAATCCAACATTTGGTCCTTTGAGCCGGATGTATTCATAACTTGTTAACACCTCCCTTAACTATTTTTCTGATCTTAAAGTGTTTAAGTATTGGGTTCCAAAATCAAGACTCAAAGATTTTTCTAGTGATATCTAAGGGTTTATGAACAATTTATACATTTACTAATCATTTTGAAAGTAGTGATTATACGTTATTGTACAGTGTTTTAAACTTTTCTCTTTTTCACTACGGAGTTCCTCAGGGTTGCACACTAGGACCACTGATGTTTAATATTGAATTCCCAACAAACTCATCTCTTTGTTGCAGCCTCTGCTTGCCTCTGACAAGGTTCCCGTACAAGCCTACCTCGGCATCGGCTCTGTGGCTGGCAAGTTCTACCTGCAACACCCATCTCTCGCCGACGCTCCCGAACTGAAGGAGCTCCTGACCAAGCTGGCCGCTCCCCTGGATGCTGGCTGCAAGACGGACTCTCACGACAAGGAAAACAAGGTGAGTGAAACCGTTATTGAACATTCCTGAGATCAAATTGAAAACTTTGATATTTTACAGTCTTGTCTTATGACTCGCTTTCTGACTTTGAGCGTTCTAGGCCTGCTCTTACAACCCTTAAAGTTCATGTTAATTGAGACGAACGTAATAGAAATTACTTTTCAACCTTGTTTTGTCAATATTGTCATTTGTGTTGTGTTGTAGATCATCGCTAGTCTGAAGGGTCTGCGAAACACTCGTCACCTGAGTGATGATGTCGCCGCCAAGGTAGCTGCCTGCGCTTCTGACAAAACCGCCAAGACCAGAGTCAGGGTTGCCGCCATCGAGGCTTTCTTCGCTGATCCCGCTAAGTCAGCTGTGAGTTTTAACATTTTTGTTTTTCTGGAACTCAACTTTAAGAACAATAGCACACGAATAAGTTGATTTTACAAAAATGACATAACTGATAGAAAATGAACTCAAAAAAGCGATCTGAAGACTTAAATTAAAATTGAGTTTTTGATGTTTTTTGTTTGAGAAACCTTAAATTTTTAAGGAATGCCACTCAGATATCTTAAATATTTTTTAAGTCTTTATGTAGAACATTGAGATCTAAGTAAACTGAAATAAACTGTTTTGGTACGATAAAAATCATTTATTGAAAATGTTTAGGAAATAAAACTTTAAGTCCACTGTTAAATGTCCTTTCACTGGTAAATTTACAGGAAAGTAATACATTTTGATCTAAAATATTTTTACATGTGCTGTACGTAAAATGTTGTGAATCAAGATCCCATTTAGTATGCTTGATACGGGCTACAAAATCAACTACAGTATTAAAAAAATATTTATCCATTCTTACTGTTATAATGTCCTCGTAAACCTGTAAAGGAAAGACAGAAGAATCATGTTCAAGCAAAACTAAAAATTGATATTTTAGACCTGATTCATGTCAAATTTTATTTGTCAAATTTCCTCATTACACTCAGTTAATTACTTTAATTTTGGTTTTCAGTTGAAACAAGCCGCAACAGCCATCCTGAAGGATGTGGAGGAGGACTCAGAGCTCAGGATCAAAGCCTATCTTGCCCTGGTACAGGCTCCATGTCCTCACGTAGCCGACACTGTCAAACAACTGGTGGACAGCGAACCCATCAACCAAGGTAACGAATGCAGTGACATTGATGAAACAGTTTGCAATGCTGGACAAATCAATTACAGTTAGATTTTGGGATAATTTGTGGATTCCTAAGGTTAAAAATTTATTTGTTCCCAGAGTGATTGATTTTGGAACTGTGACTTTGCTTTGTGCCTCCGCTAAGCTTTTTTAGCTTTAATCTTAAATGTGTTTACTGGATAAAACATAAAAAAAATACTTTAACTAGTCACAGAAAATACAAGATTTGTTTAATACAAATTTAAACTCTCACTTTCGTCTGAATTAATAACACTAAAACGTTTCAGTCGGCAGTTTTGTCATCTCCCATCTCCGTAACCTGAGAGCGTCCGTAAGCCCTGAGAAGGAAGCAGCGAAACAATTCCTCGGCAATATCATCAGCAAAAAGAAGTTCCCTATTGACCAGCGCAAGTTCTCCCGCAACTACGAAGTCTCTTACAGTCTGGACGCGATCAACATCGGCGCTGTGGGCGAACTTAACCGTATCTTCTCTCAAAAGTCATTCATCCCGAGGTCGGTCTCATTGAACCTGACCACTCAACTGTTTGGGCACTCTCTCAACCTGGCAGAGGTTAGTGGAAGAAACAGCGGTACTAGCGTATTATACCGATAAATCCACTTCCAAATAAGATTTTAATTAGTTTGAATAACAAAATATACCCAACCTAACCTAATGCAACCTTACCCAACCTAACCACCCTTAGGTTAGGTTGTGGTCGATATAATACGTAAGTACCGAAACAGCTGCTTTATATAATTTAAAAAATTTAATGTTATTAACCAATCAAGTTTAATATGAAGTTGTAATTTTAAATAAAACTTCAGTGAACGTTTTACACTACTACGATATCATTTTGATGGCATATCAGTTTGACAAATAGTAATTTCAGCCACATTTAAGTTTCTTAGCCAACTACATTGGAATGCGAGATCATTCTATTATTTTCCTAGGTCGGTGTTCGAATGGAAAACTTGGAATATCATCTGGAGAAATACTTTGGACCCAAAGGACTTCTGAAGTCCAGAGGAATCAAGTTTGTTGACAAAGTCGGTGATGATATTGAAGAGGCAGTGAAAAAAGTCAAGGACGCAGCGAATAGACCTAAACGTTCTGTCTCCAAGGAACAAGCTTCCGCCGCTACAAACAAGGTTTGTTTACGGTTTATTTATTTGTAATTCAAATAAAATTTTCATCTATAAAGTCATTAAAACAGTTTCTAAGTGAAAGATTGAATATATATTATGTAAATCTGTGGTTTTAGGAAGTGTTGCGCTATGGCAAAGAATAATTAACTGTTATAAATCGTAAAAAAAAAAAATATTGTTTTTGTTGGATTTTAATATAGTTTCTTTCATCCAACAGTAAAGTATGTCAGTCAAGACATAACTATACTCTATAAAACTGCATTTTCACAAATAAACCCCAAAAGCAATTAAATAGTACACTTTGTGATCAATCTTTATTACTTTATTAAATTGTTTTTGTACTTTGAGGCACTGTTGTTCTTTGTACAAGGCATTTTAAACCCTTAAAATACTTTCTTGTGTTTCTGTCGTAAGTGAAATTTAAATTTGAATAGATTATATTGATTTGCTTTTACGCCTTACAGTGTCCCAAAATAATCATGTTATTTTTTCAATACATAATTGAGGTGCATTGTTACGGAGGCCGAAAACCCACTTTGGTTTGAATGTCCACAGCTGTATGGTAAGTTAATCATTTCAACATTGAACTGAAGTATGTGAAAAATATCGTAATTTTTTAGAAAAACTGTTTAGTGTTTCTTCACTTTTAAAACTTTTCAGAAGGTTACACTTACATTATTTTATTTTTCTCCAGATTGAGCTGGGCCCCGACTACGAGGATCTGGACACTGACTTGGATTTGTCTGTGAAACTGTTTGGCTCAGACATCGCTTGGTTTAACTATCACTACAACCGCCTTGATGTCAAGGGACTCAAACAGAAGTTGCATGGTGAAGTAGAACAGCTAGCGGACAAATCTAAGGCTTTGGACGTGAGTGATTTAGTTTTTAATTGATTCATACACTTTTTTACTCGACCACCAATTGACCTCTTCTCCACTAAATAAATGTTCTTAAATCTCATCCCCTTCATATACGTATTGTTTGTAAATTAATTGAATAACTGTTACCCTATATGAGTATTAAACTTACAAAACAGTATGATATTCCACTGTGTTTGTTATTTTTCCCAGTTGGTCATCAGCTATATGAAATTTCCTTAACATCAAACATTCGCTGATTAATGTACTGAATAATAAAGCAAGATACTCAATTGAGCAACACCTCTTAGGGCACACCTTTTCCTGGAAAGTGTCTTCGTGTCTAGAGAAATAGCAGGGTTAAAATATCTGAAATAATCTTTTTCTGGTTGTATTTGGTACTAAAGTCAATACTATAAACACTCCTTTTCCCCACTGGGCATCGGAGGTTATGTTTTAATTTACAAGTTTTCAAGTGTCTAAAAAAAGAGATCCTGCAGTATAAAATTACTTTTATATTTCCGTTTCTCGAGCAGTTTTAAGTTTGCTCTGTTGATTTACAGATTGACTACAAGAAGGCTCGTCAGTTCCTGGACGTTGGAGTCAGCTACCCTACAGGCCTGGGACTGGCTCTGAAGGTCAAGGTCAGCGGAAACTCTGCAGTCAACATCAAGGTCAAGGGTAATGTTGACCTCAAGGCCATCTACAACCACCCCGACACTGCTCATGTGGCTCTGCAAGTGGTGCCCAGGTAATTCTTCATTTCTGTATGGTTTTGTCGTCCTTTTTAATCTGTTTGGTTCGGTACACTGCTTTTTTAACCTACCCTGTAAACCGAACCCCGGGTTAACTGAAATAATAACAAACTCAAATGAATTGGAAAATTAGCTAGCTATGGGAACTGTCTGCCAATGGGTACTTGGCCACCAGAGTCTAATTGAGCAGACGTTGATACGTACCTTACACCATGATAAAGATAGTACAGAAAATAACTTAATATTATTTTGAGAAGTAGATTTTGTATTTAGGACCTACAATTGTGGATTTTAAAAGAGAGTAAAATGTTATTAAAATATGTGAAAGCGTCTGTTGTAGATCTCTTTGAAATGACCTTACCTTTTCATTTTGTTTAATCAATTATTTTAGGCAAGGAAATAAGACAGTGAACCTGATCTAATTAATCTATTGTAGTTATTTATAAGACCTCTTTGAAGTGGCCTTGCCCCCTTTATTTCGGTCAGTTGTAGTTTGACTTTAAAGTTAATACAGTAGGAATACTTTTTGTTATCTTGCAATGGAAAAGGGGTGTGAACCTGGTCTAATTCATCTATTTTTTTTCAATTTGTAAGAGGTCAAATGTATTTTTCAGCGCCAACGTTGAGCTCGCTTCTCTGTTGTCGGTTGACGCTGACGTTGTTGAGACCGGAGTCAAAGTATCGGCCAACCTCCACTCTTCTACAGGTTCTGACATCACTGTTAAGGTGAGTACCCAGGAATCTTTACAATCAATGGATGTATAAAGTAGCAATGGTTCTCAATGCAAGTTTAACCAAGCTGGATTATTTCATTTGAGATTATTTTATTTTGCTGATGGGTGTTTTCTAAATGAAAACTGGGGTTTTAATGCTAATGTATTATATTACATCTAACCTACAGTTTTAAATTTTACACTAGATGAAATAGTAACTCAAATAGTGTTGGAATGTTCAAGAGGTTAAGCAATGGTGATATAAGGTGGTACGAGGAGATTACTTGAATTTCACTGTCTATCTGACAATGACAGATTTTTGTAGATAAAACAAAAATTGCCTTTTTGTCTACCTGATCTGAATTCATTGCAAATTCTACCTTTTGGAGATTCGTGAACATTCATATGTATGTGTCTCGACTACTATGTGTGATCCCGAATTAGAAACAGGAGTGATGTAGCTGTTTCGACAATAATTAAACAGTCATACCCATACCATTACCAAAGTTTATGAGAATTCCACTTATCATCTAGATAACAAAAATACTACTTGAGTTCCTACTTTACTAGTTGTATTTAGTTTAAGTGTAATTTTAAAGTAAATATTAATCATAATTAGCTTGAAAATCCTGATTATTCATCCAAAAACACCCTAAATTTCCAAAATGTTTAAAAATAAAAATTTACACTTTGAATTTTTTTTATGTTGATTTGATCCATTGTTAGAAAATATTGTACCTAAATTTGCGAGGCATTAAAGAACTAACAAACTATTCCTCATTATTTAGGTTCTGGACGGCTACGGTGTTGACGTTAAGCTCGGTCTCCCCGTGAAGAAGCAAGACATTCTCAACTTCAATTCCGATGTTGTCTCCATCGTAAGAGAGAAGAAGGGAGGCGAGGTGGAATCACCAATCAAGTTCGATGTTAAAAGGTAAAGATATCTTGTGTGTGAGAGACTTAACAGATACAGTGCACAACAAATTAATTTATGTTTTTTCTGTGATTAATGTTAACAGGATTTTTGGAAATTATGTAGATGGGAATTATTGAGGCTCTTAAGTATTTCTTATGATTTGTATGCAGACAAATATACTAACTCTGGATATGGAGGTTAAATTGTTAAGAATGTCTATCTAGGAATTCTGAGTGAGCGGGGGGTGACTTAGATTTTTATTTAATAGTCTATTTATTTATATCAACGTTTTTCTTCAAAAATTAAAAGTTACTTCATTTTAACTCAAATGTATTCTATAATTTATTTAGTGGTTTTGGCCAATCAAAAACTAAACCATCTGTTTGTGAGAGAGAAAAGAAGAGATTGCCTTGCAAATATTTGTGGAGGCTTTCATAAACTGTGGACATTAAGCAATCGATTACGTGGCACTAATAATACCTGGAATGTGCCATGGATAGAATCCTACCGAAGGCTATTGTAGGTTATTACTTGTTATATAAATTGCTGGATTTTTTAAAAAAAGGTGCAAGAACTGTAACATATTTAATGTGTTTGGTACCTATTTATCCTAATATTTTTATCTTTCCAAAAGAGAGGTACCTGAACGCCGTTCCGCCGTGTTCCTCCTCAAATCGTGCACAGGTTATAATATAGGTTTGCAAACAAATATTTTTTGAGAACAAATATCTACATCTCTTATATTTTTGGTCTCAAATGGTGAAATGACCCTACATCAACTTGATATACCTATAAACATGTTGTAACTCTTAATTATTGATACTGAAGTAGACATCTCGGTACTTTCGTATTATGTTTACCGACCACACCTAAATTGGTGTTGGGTAAGGAAAATTTTTTTATTTAAACTATTCAACTTATTTGGAAGTCGATTTAGTGGTGTGGTTGGTATAATACAAAAGTACCGACATCTCATTTTTTATGGGAACTAGTTGTAGCCAATTTTTATTAACACATTCGCTGCGGATGACGCACAAGTGCGTTTCGCGCCATTTTGTAATTTGCCGCCATTTCGTGCGCTTTATACTTTTGTTTTTGTTTTGACTTGTGTATTACTCCAGTTTCCAGTTACGCACTTGACTTTTGTTGCAGTCCGTTTTTGTTTATGTCTATTGGTTAGTGAACCACGTGCACGCAAACATGGACTATTCGGAAGAGTTGGTTGACGATCCGGGTGTGCCCTCCCCTTGTAGTTCCCGTGATGTGACTGTTAGCTCTAATATGACAGTTAGTGAAATTGACCTCTTTAGTGACCAAACAGACAGTAGTGAGGAATACACGAGTGACGAAGAGTACCAGCCTAGTGACAACGGCAGTGAATCAAGTATCGGTGAGTCATTAGTAGACGAATTGGAAGACAATTTTGATTACGATGATTACGATTTAGCTTGGGATGAGGACCCAAACTCCATGAAAACATTTATTTTTTCATCTCCAGTAGGCTTAAGAGTTCCAATCCCTGGGGAAAATAAACCAGCGGACTTTTTTCAGTTGTTATTTGATGATGTTCTGCTTGAGTTGATCGTTAAAGAAACTAACAGTTATGCCGAAGAATTGTTTCTATCCAAAGATCACTCTGAGAAATCACGCATAAGTTCATGGAAAAATTTAACTTTGAATGAATTTAAAGTTTTTCTCGGACTCCTATTGCACATGGGTCACATCAAGTTGCCTAAGATCCAGGATTACTGGAAGAAAGACAAACTTTTCAAAACCTGTTTTGGTGAGTACATGGCACGAGATCGCTTCCTTTTGATATTACGTTGTCTGCATTTTGTAAGAGCAGACGCAACAAGCACTGACCGTTTGCATAAGATTAGGTCAATTGTTGATTATTTCAATAACAAAATGATTAACATTTATAATGCTGGGAAGGAGCTGTCACTGGACGAAGCAATGGTCCTATGGAGAGGTCGGTTGCCTTTAAACAATACATCAAGGGCAAACGCCATAAATATGGCATAAAACTCTACGTTTTGACTGAACCTAACGGGCTGATTCTAAAGTTTGCAGTCTATGCTGGAGCCTTAGATCAACTGACTGGTGAAGGACATGCTAGTAAGGTAGTAATGTACTTGATGCGTGAAAAGCTGGGAAGAGCCCATTCAATCTATCTATATATATAATTCTGTAAGACCAAATTTTTACCAGAAAATTGTGGACGTCTGGTAAGTCGCAGAAAAGTGGGAGGGGTCTTAAATTAAAGGTCTTGACCCCAGGGACTCGGGAAAAATAGCAGAATTCCCATAAAGTTACCACAAAACGAGATATAACGTAAAATATCCACCATAAGAAATGCATGGGGACTGAAAAACGTCTGCATTCTGTCAGCTGTTACTTATTTATTTGCAATGTTTACATTTATTCCAAAAGTCAATGTTTGTAAATAATGTTTCAAAACGAATTGTGTTTTTAATTTTTTTTTCCGTTTTTATAATGAGTGACGTAACTAGACAGGGTAGGGGAAGACCTGCAAGACGTGGAAGAGTGTCCAGGAATTCAACAGACTTAAGAAATTCAAAAGAGAACGTCATGTAGGGCCTAACTGTGAAATAAATCTAGAAGCTGTTTTACAACCTGTCTTTTGAAGAACGCTGGAAAATGAGTTGAGTTGTTTCTCACAATCTAGGTCCGCTTAAAGCACTTGCATGCATTGTGGCGCATTTCACTTCGCAGAGGAGGCCACAGATGGACATTTCAACGCATGTTGCCACAATGGACATGCCACAACCTCAAGTAAATGGCGAACTAACTGTTTTGACATGATTCGAACTTCATAAAAAACATAAGGCAGTACAACAGTGCAATGGCTATTGCGTCGCTTTCCGCTACACAAAAAGAGATTCCGGGAAATGGGCCTTACTGTCTTAAAATTCAGGGACAAATTCTTAGATATATTTCTGACTTACCACCGCTAAATGGGGAGTTGCCTTCATAATAATTAATAACAGTTTTAACCTTTACATTTGGTTCTCAAAATGGAAACTATAACAGAATTTGTAAGATTACAAAACAAATCTTCAATTTTAAACTAGAAAAGATGTGCAATGTTTGGTTGTATGATTTCAGCTCTGATTCGTCGTTCTCCGGGCTCAGGCCAAACCGTGTGCATGTTTCCATTTGTTAATATGTTGTGTTACAACAGATTTAATCATTATTTTACAATTGTATTTCTTTGACACATCAGAAGCAACGAATATACGACTCCAACGGAAGGAACCTTAAGATATAAAACAAGAAACACTGTTAGTTTTAAGTAACATAAAATTGATAATTTTAAAAACATATTTCAAATATTTGTCTTTTTATATATGGTTTTTTTATTGTAGTCTAAATTAGGGGCTATGGCCCCTACAGGCCACTAGTATGGATAATTTTTACAATAGTATAGAATTGGCTACCGAGCTTCTTGAGGAAAAAACATACACCACTGGTACTCTTCGAGCTGATCGTAAGAAAACCCCTAAAACGGTTGTAAATGCCAAAGTAAAGAAAGCAGAATCAGTTGAGAAGTACTATAAGGGTGTAATGTGTGGTAAATGGAGAGATAAGAGAACTGTTCTGTATCTCTCAACTCAGTACTATAATGAGATGGGTACAGCAACAAACAAGAGGGGTCAGGAGAAATTAAAACCCTACCCTATTATAAAATACAATGAATATATGAAAGGTGTAGATCGTCAAGATCAATTTTTAAGCTATTATCCATGCGAAAGAAAAACCCTTAGATGGTACAAGAAGTTGTTCGTCCACATTCTTCAGATGTCCGTACTGAATGCCTTTTTCCTGTTTAACAAACATACCTTCGGTAAGAAGCTGCCGCTGTTGGAATTCCGCTTAGCAGTAATTAGACACCTGTTATCACCAGTGGACATCCAGAACCAACGACCAAGAAAAGTGGCGACAGACCATCTGCCAACGAAAAACCCAGTGGGGCGGAACAACAAGACATTGCGGCGGCGATGTGTCATCTGCTACACCAAAGGTATACGCAAAGACTCAGTGTACCAGTGTGAGGGTTGTGCTGAAAAACCAGCTTTGTGCCTCGGCGACTGTTTCAAGGAATATCATGGCTAAACATGACCTGACCACAGGGAGTTCTTCAGATTCAAGATGGACTTGTATATAATATTGTATTTTTTGGTCACAAATATGTTATAAATTGTGTGAAATAAATTTTGTATTTAATAAATAATACAATGTCTTACTATTACTAAACAAACACATACAAAACAGCTGAACGCACATGTGCGTCATTCGCATTTTGGCTGTTATTTGATGTAATGTGCTAATGACGCACATGTGCGTCATTAATTTTTTTTTTGGAAAAAATTGCAAAAATTACTTTTTTTATACTTTTAACTATAAATGAACTTATAAAAATGTATTAATAAGTTATTTACGAAAAATAATTTTTAGCACCCCACATACAGCCATTATTATAGTATAATATTATTAGCAGCGAACGTGTTAAAAAAAAAAAAACTGCTATAACTATAACATGTGTATGGAATACCTAGTTTTATTCAGTCAAATTCTCAGCATCACTGACTCTAACCCTGTCCACAGACAAGACCACGGGGGTTGTTTTGACCAGCTGAGCGCTCTCACAGGACTCACCGTGTGTGGAGAAGTATCTCTCCCCATGGAAGGGTTCAAGGTGCTCAGTCCTGCGTACGGTCCATCGCGCGCGTCCTTGCGTCTGGAGAAGGATGATGAGTCACTCACCGCGTACCACTTCAAAGCATTCTACAACAACAAAGGTACGACATGTCAAGTCAAGTGTTGTGTTCAAAAGAAAAATATCAGTGTCAAATGGGAATATTTGATTGAAAACCTCTTCTGCACAATATGACATCCTTGTTATTGATAAATTTAAAAAAAGTGATTTTTTTTATAATTAAGTAGACTGCCCCTTGTTTGGATAACCTTACTTATAAAAAGTTTGAACCATTAGAAATACTGTATTTAAAAAATTGTATGTGTTTCAAAACCTCTTTTTATTTGTAAAAACTAGTAAACTACAATACTATACTATTCAATAAAGGAATATTAGAATCTGTAAATATAAATACTATACAGCGCAGGACTATCTATCAGGTTGTGCCTTGTTTGTTTATAAAATAAACCATCCCAATCATCTTATTTTCAAACAAATTAAGTCTGAATGAGAGGGAGATTTTTGTATATTGTCTCTAATCAATCTGTAAACCAAATACAGGTTTTAGCAGTCACAACTGTTATGTTTAACTGTACATTTGTTTTTACAGAGCCAAACCAAGTAACCTTGGAGGTACTTTTGGACACACCCAACTCTAAGACCAGCAGAAAGTTTGGAGTTCACGTTCACGGTACATCAAAGCCTCAGAAACAGATTACCGTCACTTTGGCTTCTCCGTTCAAACAAGCATCCTTTGAAGGTAATCCATTAGGCTATGTAGAATAAAACTGTGCAAAGTAATCTAAATATAAAGATTCTTTCATTAGTTGGGATACTAGTGTATGCGAAGTGTTTTGACAGTAACGTTGTCTGACATTAAAATATATTGCACTCATTGCTATTGCAGTTCTAAAGATACTATGGCTAAATGTTACCACGTTATGTGTAAATACTAAATGTGCGTTTGGTCTATTCTCTTAAATTTAAATTGATTGGCATGGATTTAAATTTCTAAAGGGAAAGATGGCTGAAGCTAAAATTGTTGTCAAATTATTATTGTGGTAAAATCTTGCCATGCTGGCTGACTGGGGTTAGATAATTTAACAGGCACTCTATTATAACATTTTTGTTGCTTTAGTTTTTAGCAATTTGTTATATCCCCTTTACATTGTAACCTGAAAAAACCTGCGAATAACAACAATAGATAAATATAATCTTTCTGGTTTTCTAATGTTAGTAGCAACATACAAAGTTGTGTAATTGTGTTAAAAGACCATTCAATTTATTTAATACCATTACAAATATATATTTTCAATATTTTCATGCAAACTATCAATTTAAGTCAAATATATGGTTTAAGATAAGATATCAAACAGTTTTTCTTGTTCCATGAATTTAATACTAATGTTACAAAGGCTTGGTAGAACATAAGGACGTAGAAACACCACAAAACTTTTTTGTTCTCAGCCATGAATGTTTGATATTTTATGAAGTATTTTATTAAATCTTGAAAATTAGGTTTTGACTAGGGGTGTGCGATGCATCGAAAATGCATCGAAATTTCGATTCGATTCGATTCGATGCATCGAATCGCGATTCGATTCAGTGGTGGTCAAAAAACGATTCGATTCACGAGGGAGTCAGTATCCATATACGAAAAACGCCTGCAGAAAGTCAATGCAATACCCGCAATACAGGAGCGCGTTGCTGTTGCGTTTCCTTTACGAAGGCGTTCTTATTTAATACATTCTTTGCATTAAATATAGCTTTAATTGTTTTATATTTTTTTGTTTTGACATTGCAAATGATTAGAGGTTTGTTTTTTGTCTTGATGTAAGCAGTGTGTGAAATATTTTACTACTGTGAACCTAGCCAAAACAAGGTAGGTTACTCCAAAATCATTTTAAAAATAAGTCTGAAAAATTGTTACTTAATACTTAACTAGTAAGATTAATGTTATAGACTGATTCATTTGGTATTTTTGTTAGGTGTCTGCCGGTCCCCGTCCCCGAATTTTTGTTGGGGCAAAAGAAAAAAAAAAAGAATAATTTATTTCCAAAGAAACTCTCTTATATTATTATATCTATTATTACAGAGGAATTAAAATGTTCAAATGAGAATTAAAAATTAAGTTGGCTCACGACCTTTAAGAATAAAGACACAACAGAGCAATTGCCGCACTGCCACTAGCCAGAGCCAGGTCTAGTCGTCTACTGATAAGAGTAACAAGACAAAAGCCGTGACGCAACACTAACAGTGCAAAGAAAACAAAGTCAAAAGAATAGAAAGACTATTTATCCAGACATACTAGTATAATCATTTATTGTTTATTCAATACCTAATTAAAAATATATTTTATTATTTTACATAATAAATTATAAACAAAAGAAATATCTGATATAGTGAACAGATCTGTATCTTGGTTAGATGGGGTTAAAAAAATATATTTCTAAGATCCAATACAATATTTACAACTCACAAATTACATTGAATTAATTTCTTTGAAAATAATCTCTAACAGTTTTGTGTTTTTGAATAAAGAAATATATTTCTTTGTCTCTACTCCCTTGTTTCATCACTTGCATTTTGTCATCAATTGAAGCAACTGGGTAGCAACCGGGTAGTGTAAGAGGGGAGGGGGAGGGTCTATGACCTTGAATTCACACATCGTTGCCCGGGCCTGGCTGGTGAGACTGATTCATTGTTTTTGTTGACATACTACTACCCTTCCTTAAGAGAAAAAGGCCCTGCTGTTCCAAAAACATTGAGGGTAGTTTAAAAACATTGACCTGTGTTGCCAAGGGCACTAGGCTAGAAGATAGCATTTAACTTTCTTGTCTCTTGATTTAATATTATTTTAATCTTCTATATATTATTTAAGAGTTACTTTTCGGGTACCTAATTAGTTGTGATATTGTTTGGCTTTATTTTATGGATTTTTAATTCTTTTCATTCATTAGCTATCAAAATCAGTTGTTTTAGGATTTTAATCTCTTGCAGTAGGTCTATACTACTGTATGACATGATATGCATTTTTTAGTCCTTATTAATTATACCATAAACAATGTTTGTATGTTATTTACTGTTTTTGAGTTTTATAGGAAATTAGTTTACACAATATCTTTTCTTCAATGAGTTCTCCACTTGACATGTTGCTTCTAGCCTATTACTATTTTAGGCCCTATAAAAATAATGCCTAGGTAAAGCTGTAGGCCTACTGATGCCAATAATAATTCTTTATTTATGATGATGTAACAAATAATGTAAGTGTGAGGTTATTATACTAAGGAGGTTAGGAGGCAGGGAATGAATGATACATATTGCATGGTGGAAACATATTATTTTTATTTTCTTCTTGCTTGCAGTCCTGAAGCCGGTCCACAGGCCCTAAACTTGTGATATGTAAATTTATTTCTTAATGGTCTTTTTATATTAAGTTCCATTCAAATTTGTTGTAATTTAGCTACCGGCACCTATTTAGTTATTTAAACAGTTATTAAAATGAGAATGAATGTCTTGATGAAAAAAATATTTTCTTCTTTCTTGCAGTTGAGCCAATTCAAGTAAAAATTATGAAATAGGCAAGTAAAGCAGCTCACTGGTATTTCCAGCAGTTATTCTAATACATATGATTGAAAATAAATATTTTTTCACCTAAAATTCATATGTTAAGTATGAAATAGGCCTAATACCACATCAACAAAAATTTGTATTACACAAATGTGATACATTTTAATTATTGTTAATCCACTCAATTGAAAATTATGAATAGAAAAATACCGTATTGCTTCGAATCGAGTTGCATCGAATCGAATCGAAAATCTTTTGAATCGAATCGTTGCTTCGAATCGAAAATTTTTTGCTGCTTCGCACACCCCTACAAAACCTCGCACACAATGCTACAACATACTAACCACTTGTAAAGTATTCTAACCCACATTCCCTGCTCAGGTCTGGTGATTGACACTGACAATGAACAAGCCATCTCTGCCAAGCTGCTGGCCGACGGAGCCGAGTACTCACTGAAGGCTGGAGCTCACGTGTCCGGTGACGGAAACAAGAAGAAGTACGAACCTATCCTGGAGTACAAGTACCCGGAGGCAGCCAAGAGTGAGAGGGCTTGGATAGGACGCAAGGGAGCTGCGAAGGGCGGCCGAACTCAGCAGTCCTCTGTGGGCGTTACAGGTTTGTGCCTCTGTCTGAATTTGAACACATTCACTACAGGTGTTAGGAGACTTCACATACAGAGCAGTGTGACGGCGGGTTCGGTACCTGTTAAGCTTTTGTCATTTCGGTGAAGTTATAAATTGTGTCAGGCAGAGTGGCGAGCAGGATGCAAGTACGGACAAGAACCCTGCCCCGCCATTGTTGCTTTAGATATTTTTTGTACCGTCATATCAACAATTTTCGTAATACTTTAATTACTGTTGAATTAATTTAATACCACTATTGTCCAGTGGTGTGACTCTCAATATTATTGGGAGCCTTTATCATTCCTCCCTCATCATCCTCAATTGATAAGATCTTTACTAGGTCTGTGTTTGATTGTTGAATGTTATTAGTAGTTGACATAATTGACCTTGAATTCTGAAGTAGGGCTTTGAATTATACAGTTAAAAACCAACACACATTTTGAACTTGAAATTATAGGATTACCTTAACAAGTTTTGGTTTTATAAGTTCACTCATGCTTTTTAACCGTACAGATCTATTCTAATCACAAGGTAACTGTTATCAGGTGCCGTTTTTGTGGAGAAAAAACCCGACAGTCCGTACCGCAAGTACGAGCTGAAGGCCGTGACACTGACGACCCCGCGTATCAAGGTGACGGTTGACGGTGTCGTCACTGTTGACGCCGACCTTGTGGCAACCGACCTGAAGGCTTCTTACGACAAGGACTCGTACACACTCAACTCCAAGGTGCAGAAGCTCGGAGAAAGCAAGTACATTGCCAAGATCGAGTTTGTCCCCTCACAGTACCCAGACTTCGGTGCCAGTGTCAAATGGGAGTACGAGAGAGTGCCACAAAAGGTAGGCTACTGAGGAATTGGATTTCCTTGTAAATATTTGTTTACAACTATGTTTTCAAGTTTGAATTTCGTTGGTTTGATTTGCTTTGAGAAATTGAAAGGGGAAGTTTTGGTAAACTTAGGCTTTTTAGAATCAAGACCTCTTTGTCACATACTTGTTAGTTATGTTAATGGATTCTTGTCTGCAGCTGGAGAACAAACTTGTGGTTGTCCACGGACCCGATCTCAAGAGTGAGACTTCTCGTCTGTCCATACAACAACTGCTCAATTACAAGTATGAAACTGTCAAGGTGTTTGACTTCCACACTGAGAATACAGGTGGGCTTAAAAAACCTATAATAGCATATAGGAAAGAAATTATTGTTATGTTTGTTGGCATATCAATTACCAATTATGTAAGGTCAATATACTCTAGGTACCTAATACTAGTAGACTTGAAGTATGGAATACATAGCATCTAATATAGTTTGTAATGTTGTGGTTTTGGGGATAGCCGTGTCATATTCGTGTTAACTTGACACCAGTAGTAGTGCTCTGAAGATGGCCATTTGCAACAATGATGAATCTTCAGCTCAGATGTTCAATGTTAAGACGGGATTTAACCTTGAACACCACAATATTATAGTTAGGGCGATTTGAGTTGGGCTTGTTTGACCTTTTTGTTTAGGCTCTATTTTGTCCTCTTCTAGTTTATCTTCTTCTCTATCTTTTTTCCTGTATTGTCTTCTCCTCAATTTCCCTCCCCTCTACCTTCTCCTTTCCTTATTTTGTTTTCTCGTTCTCATCTCACTTATCCTCCGTTCATGCAACCCCTTAATTCTTTTCGCTCAAGTAAATTGTCTTGTTCTATTTGTATTTTTCTATCTGATTTACCAACTATTGTTATTGTTCTCGCAGTGACCTACCCCCTGCTTGGTATCTCTGCCTCTGTCAAGGGTGGAGCCACTCCTAAGAGTGCTGACTATGATATTGACGTCACTTACGACAAGACCAACGTCAAGAGCAAACTGGACGCCAAATCCGGAGGCAAGAATCCCCTCGACTACTCTGTTGACTTTGAGGTAACATTGATATGTGTATTGGTAAACTACTTAGGCCGTTATTTCTTGAACCTGATGAAAAAGTAAAAGAAATGATTTAGACAAACAAAAAAAACTTTAACATATTTTGACAATACATAGAAAATTGCTGTTCATGAAAAATTATATTAAATTGCTGTCTACGGAAATATCTCATAGTAGCTGTGAGATTGTTTATCTGAGTCGATATTTTACTGGAATAAGGTAACAACCTTGTTAAATATCCTTAAATATCAAGAAACCTTCATTGTGTGAGCTTAAGTATAATAATACCCTCCATTATTATGTTGGTTATGGTGAATAGCAAAAAGCTCAATAATTAGAAGTAAGCCTTGATTGCAATCCAACCATATCGTTATCTTTTGAGAATCTTGCTATTAAGGTTCAACCGTTCATGAATTTGGAAGAAAGGAGTCTTTAACGGTTAACTGTGGCTTATGTACAGGCTGCTGCGTTGGGCAACAGCGTCCACTTCATCAGCAAGCACGACCGAGTTACACCAACCAAGTCCAAGTTCGCCAATTCACTGGAGATTAAACCTGGCGGCAAGTACCAACTGAACGCTATCTCTGAGTTCAACGCAAAGTCTGGAGATTTCCTGCAATCTCTCGACGCCGAACTGAAGATGCCTCAGGACCCTAAGAATATCAAGTGAGTTGTTAAGTGTTAAGATAGGGGACTTTTTCTGTACTTTTCTGGATCAAGCGTACTGGATCAAGTGTGGTAATCTCATCAAAACCATGATTCCTGTGTCATAATAATCTATTTATTTAGCAATGAAATCATACATAAAATTTTAATCCAAAATTTTTGCTTCTAAGGCCCAAATTCATCAAGGATTACAATGAATCTATCTTGTGTTTTTTAATATGGGAAACAAATTCATTTATTCAATTTGAAATAGATGTACTTTATAACTTCAGTTATAGTAATTCAGTGAACAGGAAGTATTAAATATTTTCTTAGTGAGTTACCACTAACTACTTATATATTTAACTTTGTGGGTTAGTGTCCTATTTACTTAAACCCCTTCTGATGAGTTATCTATCCTTACCTAGTTTCACTTGTGAGTTCTCAGGATCCTTCCAACTTATGTCACAAATTCATTAAATGAGTAACGTATTCTTTAATCTGAATGAAAAATATAAGCAATTTTGTAAATTTATAAATCAAAGTTATTTTCATTTTTCATTAATTTTATTTTCTTCAATAATGATTTAAAGTTTTGGTTAAAGCCGTTTTAGAATCATTTAAATGTTAATTTTGTAAATCTTTAAGCTATTCATTCACACAAATTTAATAATTTTAGACTCAAGACCAAGGTTGAAATGAACAACAAAGAAAATGAAATCGAACTCGCAATAAGCGCCGGAAACAAACACATCATTGATTTTGAATACGAGCGCCAGAAGAAAATCGATCCCTCTGGCAAGTTCAAGCTGTCTGTTCCCAAGTACGTTGAGAGCGAAGGATCTTTCGAGGCCAAGGCTGACAAACTTTCTGGAGTTTTCCACGTTGACATCCTCAAGACTGGAAGAAAGGTAATTTGAGACTAGTTTGCAACAAAGCTGTGATATTTTATCAATCCATCAATCAAGTCTTTGTTGTGAGAAAATCTTATGGATTTTGATCAGATTAATTAGCATAAAATTATTAAACTTATTATTAATATTCAAATACATAATGTTCGCTGCATTTTCATCCCCTATAAATGCTGGTAGAGTAATGTTTGGCAAAATAACCTTTTAACACATCTGTTTTACTTGGTTTTATCTGCATTACTTTTTTTATAGTTTTGTGAGATAGTATTTTTTCTAACTGCAAGACTCCATAGCTTTGATTTTGAAATTATCATTCCAGATTGAAGGAAAAGTTGACCTAACCAAGAGCCAATCCCAAGTGAAGGGCTTTGGAGAGGTTCTGTGGGACTCTAAGAAAGACCCAAGCAAGAAGATCCATATTGAGACCGACACCACAATTGCTGGAAAAACCATTGATTCAAAGTGAGTGTTGACATTCAATACATGAAAGAAGTTAGGAAATCTATTGAAGTTTATTGAAATTGAAATTACATAAGTTGGTTTTATGGCCATTTTTACCCAAAACATATTTGGCCTCACCAACTACCTCCACTTCTTTCTATCTTTAGCGTCTTCTTTAAAGTACATTCTCATTTCTTGTCAATTCAACTTTTATCCCATCTTTGGGGTGTCCATCCAAATTTTCCTTCCATATTTCATCATAACTTTGACTATATCACAATCACAAGTTCGCCAGTTCAATGCTGAGGAAGAGAAAAGTCAGTATCCCTCATCTTTGACCATCTGATAAATTATCCTTGCCAAAAAACAGGTGACAGTCAGACAAAGCTATACAGATCATCTCATTTCTGTTCTACACTCACTGTTCATTCACTATCAGCTGGTATGCACCTAGGGTGTGCCATTTAAAAGTAATGTGTAAATTCGTGTTACAATAAATTTAGTCAAATAACCCATAAATTCCAACGAGCTTTTATTTAGTTTTAAAGTTGTTCAACTGATTTAAAATGTTTTTCAACCTATTCAACTTCTGCCACAGGAACACAGTGCAAGTCCTAGAACACAAGGGAGAGGTGAATGTGAAGGGAAGTCTGGAAGGTTCTCTCACTGACGGAACACTCATTGGAGACGCTGAGGTCGTCTTGCCCAACGGCAGAGTCCTGGCCGCCAAGGTGGGACGATAGTATAGTAGCACTGAAACTTAAATATTATGCATGATTCCAAATTTAGAGATGTGTTTTTCAAGCTCATCAGTACACTGGGATGCTTGTGTTCTTTTTTAATTTAACACAAGTAGGGATGGATGGGTCCCGAAATTTCGGGAAATTTTCGGGGAAAAAATATTCCCGATATTCGGGATGGGATTACATTTGATTCGGGAATTTTTCGGGACGGGATTTGGTCCGATCATTGGTGATTTTGCCGTTTCGCGAGTGACGATAACGCCGCTATCGCAAGAGATGTTCCGCGAACGCAGGAGGCGAAGTCATACCGACCATCGCGCCGTGACCGCGAGTCACAAGTTTCTATAGATAGGTACCTGTAAATTGTTGTAACCAAATCTTTTTTGTTGTTTTTATAGATCAGTGCCACAAATGGTAAAAATTGATTTCTTTTGTCTTTTTTGGTAACTGCAATACTCAAGACTTCCTTTTTATCCACAGGAAAAAATCCCGTCCTGAAAATTGGGAAGGAAATAAAAATCCCGTCCCCTCCCGTCCCGAACTAAAAATTCAATCCCGTCCATCCCTAAACCTTAATTGGCAGCCATTCAAGCAATAGTAATCTTGTTTACGTGAAGAATTTCACAGTGTTACTTAAGAAGTTTCCACTTTATGTCCACTAAGTTATTCTTATTATTTAACCATATATAGTTGCTACTCGATAAATTACAATTTTAAACATCTCTACATACTTATATTTTACCATTTTTGTTAGAGAAATGTATGAGAAAATTTGTGAAAACTTATTAAAAACAAAACAAGCATTTACTTCCTAGTAAAAACATTAAAAATTGTGTTTCCCATGCTCATGGAGTAACATCAAAATTTTATGAACTGTAGAGCCTTCTCTCCTATCTAAACATTTTGAAAATCTGGAAAATGTTACACTGAACTCCGTCTAACAATACTTTTTCCAAAATGGAAACCCTTTCAAAAGTAAACTATTATTTCCGTATCACACTCTTGTGTTAAATACCTAATAACATAAGTAGAAAATATACCGACTTGCTCAACAATTTTAAAAACAAACAAACAATTTATAAACCTAAACTTCAAACTGAAATTGAAAATTATTTCTTTTTAGGTTAACCGCCTAGTGCACTTGGGCCCTGAAGACAACAAGGTCGAAGGCACGTGGGAACTGTACGATTTTGCCTCCAAGAGTGCTCAACCCAGGAAGGTGGTTTTGAAGATCGCAGCCAAGAACGTGAACCCTGTGAAGGTTCAGTTTGACGGACAGGTTGACTTGACCTACGTTACACCGGAGAAACAAGATGTCGTTCTGCATGTAGTCGGCAAGAAGATCCCTCAGGCTGAGAAATGGTCCATCTCTGGACAGGTAAACTATTGGTTTGTTACTGTTCATTTGTAGAATTCTCTCTCAGGCCCCATTTTTTATGTGCTGACTGAACTAGTCCAGATCGAAAAATTTCCCAAATATTTTTTAATATCACTTTTAATATAAAACTAGTTTTCAGCTACTTTAATTCCAAAAGAGTTCTATGGGAGAGTCCTCTTTTCCCCCAGAAGAAGTGGGTGAGCATAAGCCTACCCCTCACCCTAATCCCTGGCCTGAGAATTTGGAGAATCTGTTCTCTCGGTTAGAACACAGATCCTAGAAGTCTAGATTAAAATCTGGCCAGTTCCCGATGTCATTAATAATATGATTCATATTCAAATTGTTCATAACTTATAGTATTTGAATCATATCAATATGAATAAGTAATATTTAAATATAATTTAACTGTGAACTGTCTTTGGTACTTGAGGTGTAATTATGACTAAACTTCCAAATGGATTAAAAAAATGTTGGTGATTACATATTTCACTCTCCTAGGGTTCAGTGACCGGTTCACTCATCAAGTACCCGATCCACACCAAGTTGAATGCGGAAGTGTCTGACCAGCTGATCAAGGGACAGCTGACAGCAGACAAGAAGTTCCCTCCGGCTCATTACGACTTTGAGCTGAAGGCTGGAAACGACATCGCCATCAACTCCAACGGAAAAGTGAATGGTGAACAGTTGAACAACGACATTGAACTGACCTTACCAGCTGACCTACCTGTGACCTCTGTAAAGTGGCATACGGCCAACACCGTCAACATCTACCATGCAGGAGAGGCCGGCCGAAAGGTATATTGCTCGTGTCTGTCTTACAATCAAGTTATTAACTATCTATCTCCAGTAGTAGCAAATGATAAGTTCAGCTGGTCTTTAGATATTGTAGTGAACAACTTTGGTTTCAGTTGAGATGGTATCGTTGCAATTACATATGTTGTATGCTATTGTTAGTAATGCAAAATAAGTTTCAAATTTAACCCAAGTCGTAGGACTTTACATTGCATTATGTTAATATTTTGTCACTAAAAAGGGGTGAATTTTTCAGAAATAGTAGATTTAATTCAGCTCACTGGATTTGTTTGCTAACACAAAACGTTCTTATCACTATACATAAAACTAGTTTGTATATATTAATTATTTAATCGGTGGAGAAATATTTCTGTAACTTGTAGTTAAATCAGTGTTCTTAACTAAAAAACAATGATATATTAGTTATTTTTATTTTCTCTCTCCCTGAAGTGTATTCTTAAGCTAAGATATTTCCTCCAAACAATATTATCTCAATGACAATGATATTATTTGCCAGGTTGTAACCAACAACGCCGTACATTGGAACAATGACAAGTTTGTGAAGTTCAACGTGGAAGGAGCTCAGAAGGAGCAGCACGCCGAGGGCAAGGTGGTGTGGGAGTCTCACGTCCTGAGTGCTCGCACACTCACTTACAAGGTCAACTGCGACGACAAGAAACAGAAGGGAGAGGTAGACCTGGCCCTGGCGTGGGAGGGCAAGAACGCAGACGTCAACGTGAAGGCGGACGTAGGCTCAAACCCTGTCCATCTCACAGTGACCAGCAATGTACCCGAGCATGGCAAATTCGAACTGGACGCATACCACAAGGTGAGGTTTCAAGGAAATGTCATCTGTAATTTGTTTTATAGTTCATTTAAATGTTTGCAAAAGGATTACCTTTTTGAAATTTGAATTGCCATTATCTTATCGATTAAATTCTGAGAAGTCCTATTTTAAGACATAATATATGTGTGTTAATATATAATAACATGTTTTTTTTGCCTTTATTGTTTATCTGAAAGCAACTGAACTTTCAAGTAAGCTAGCTGAAGAAAATCCCTGAACAAAATGTTAATCCTTTATCACTTGAGGAATTAAAATACTTAGGTATTGTTTTGATCCTTCTATACACATCTTCCTTTGTTTACCAACTTATGTAATAGATTATACATTACAAAATTTACTTTAAAATCAATTCTCAATGGTGATTAGTACTCTCATTATTGGCTGTTAATCACAAAATATGTTTTTTGTCTTTTTATTAAAATTTCTCATTGAAACATCCTGCTAGTCAAAAATGCTACTTTATTACCTGTATAATCAATTTCTTTTCCATAATTATTTAGTATTTTCTGTTTGCAGATCGTAGACGGAGGAGAGTCAGGCGAGACCTCAATCTCCGCCTCAGGCAAGGACAAGAAGTTGGTCTACACAGGCAAGTACTCCAAGAGCAAGACGGCGCCCTACATCGATGTCAGTCTGGAACTGCCTCAGGGCAAGTCTCGCTTCTACACCAAGCTTGAGAAGAAGGGTGAGCAACACGCTCTGGTGGAGGCAAAGTTACTGTGGCCGGCCCAGGGCGGTGGCAGTCTCGACCTCAACGGAGAAGTGAACGTCAAGAGTCTCGACAGCTTTTTAGTCAAACTTTTCGTCGACAGTCCTAAACTTAGCTTGAACAAGATGGAGTTTGAGGCAGCCAACCAGCCAGCCAAGTCTGCGGCAAAACAGATTTCCTTCCACGGCAAGAACGGCGACAAGGAGATCTCTGGAAAGTGAGTTGTATTTAAATTCCATCTTTAACATAATTTTCTTGAAAGATACATAATCTACCAGAGAATACTTGCAAATTGATTTTAACTTGATCAATTGTTCAATTGTTGTTGTGTGGTCAATTGTTGATATAGATATAGTCTGAACTGAATGCAGTGTGAATTATTGTAAGACAATTTTTGATGCGAAACATGAATTTATGGTACTGTGATCAATCAAAAATTACTCTGAAAAAATTCAGAAAATTTAATCTCTGTTTCTTTGGACTGGGTTGTAAATTTTGTCTGAAAATGGGCTCACTGGTTGTAAATTTAAAAAAGTTATTTTATCACATACTCATCTGAGACAAGATATTCATCCAGATGAATTGCTGTACAATTGTGATATAATATAACCATAACTTAATATAATGAAGTACGGTAACAATAGTTTTTAAATCGTTATTCAACATGTTAACTAATTTTAAACCACACTTTCAGTCTGGCTTTGGTCTCCAAGGGAACCGCACCAAACATCCACTACGAGGGGACTGGAGTGTTGAAGGTCGGAGAAACATCGTACCCACTGGAGTTCAAACTGAAGACCGAACATGAAAAGGGCAAGAAATTACAGGTAACAAAATTATGATTTGCCCTAACCTATAAACCAACATTTGAAAAAAAATCTCTGCTCAAATCCTAATTTTTAAAATGGTTGTTAAGAATCCATTGATTAATTGTGTTGTGGGACACCGTCCGCCACAATGTGAGCTTATTTTGGGGGGAACTTGTTTCAAGTTTCTGAGCCTGTAAAACATAAGGTATCTGATAAACTGCAGAAATCTGCTTATTAGCTATGCCTGAAGAAGATGTGCACATCACCGTGGCTTCACTCCCTTGCCTCAATTAGATCTGTGCTGTTAGTGCAGGCTCATTTGTAATAAAATAAAGATTCGTGTTTTTTTTTTTGTTAAAGGCAAAAACTTAATATATTTTGAAAGATGATATAGTGATCTCCAAAAAAAATTAGGGTGTCATTTTTTCCAATCCAAGATGGCGTCCAAAATGGCCACTGTTATGTACCATTTTTAGGTTTTTCCTAAATATCTCGAAAACTATCAACTTTTTGTATACTATACTAAATTATGAAATTAAAGAAGATTAAATTTCCTACAAGAAAAGTATATAATGTAACTATTTCCGTTCAACCATTTACAAGATATAATAAATAACTTATTCAAATAATCCTTCCATAAGGAATACATGTAAATTTGTATGTATAATAAATGCTAAACGTGACAAAACCTATCCACCTAAGGTCAATATAACCGATATTCTTGAAATATTGACAAATTTTCCAGCAATTTGACACTTTAATAATAAAAATTGGTCAAAAATTAAGGCGAGGGTGAGCACACAAAAAGAAGAAACTATTGCAATTAATGCGGTTTTTGTGAGACCGCCAACGCCTTAATTTTGGACTAATCTTAATGATTAAAGTGTTCAATTGGTGGAAATTTGGTCAATATTTAAAAATTATCAAATAAAAAACTAAAATTAAAAAAAATAAATGAAATTACGTATGGACCTGTGTAGGCTCATTTGTAATGAAATAAAAATTCGTGGATTTATTTAGTTAAAAGCAAAAGATTATTCTAGTAAAATATGATGTAAGCATAAGGAAAAAAGTAGGGCGTGATTTTTTCAAATACCAGATGGCATCCAAAATGGCCGCCGTTTAGCAATAATTTAATTTCTTCTGTAGCACACATGTAATTTAAATTATACTGGAATTGGAAATAAATGTACAAACATGAACGATTGTTAAATTACTATATTAGCCAATTAGTATAAATGATACAGTGTAATCTTTAAAATATAGTCTAACTATTTAAATCACGTTATTACTTAGTGTTCAGTGATGTATGACTGCTAAAATTTATAAACACTGTGTGATATGAGTAGCAATGGACATCAAATGTCTTCGCGCTCTTCTTTTATTCCTGGTTAACTTGTTGTGTTGTTGCAAGTAAAAGCCCAAAACCACAGATTTCAGTACATGGGAGATTGTTTGTGCAACAAAAAATCACAAAAAATCAAAAAAATCACGCCCCAATTTTTTCCTTATGTTTACATCATATTTTAACAGAATAATCTTTTGCTTTTAACTAAATAAATCCATGAATTTTTATTTCATTACAAATGAGCCTACACAGGTCCATATGTGATTTCATTTATTTTTTTTAATTTTAGTTTTTTATTTGATAATCATTAAATCTTGACCAAATTTCCAGCAATTGAACACTTTAATCATTAAGATTAGTCCAAAATCAAGGCGTTGGCGGTCTCACAAAAACCGCATTAATTGCAAATTGCAATAGTTTCTTAAATAATTACAACTTTTTGTGTGTTCACCCTCGCCTTAATTTTTGACCAATTTTTATTATTTAAGTGTCAAATTGCTGGAAAATGTGTCAATATTTCAAGAATATCGGTTATTTTGACCTTAGGTGGATAGGTTTTGTCACATTTAGCATTTATTATGCATACAAATTTACATGTATTCCTTATGGAAGGAGTATTTGAATAAGTTATTTATTATATCTTGTAAATGGTTGAACGGAAATAGTTACATTATATACTTTTCTTGTAGGAAATTTAATGTTCTTTAATTTCCTAATGTAGTATAGTATACGAAAAGTTGATAGTTTTCGAGATATTTAGGAAAAACCTAAAAATGGTACCTAACAGCGGCCATTTTGGACGCCATCTTGGATTGGAAAAAATTACACCCTAATTTTTTTTGGAGACTACTGTATATTCTTTCAAAATATATTAAGTTTTTGCCTTTAACAAAAAAAAAACACGAAATTACATATTGGCCTACACTATGTCTTCATACACTACAATTACAGACTGTTTACCCACTATGAATTATTGAGCCATCCAGGTGCTTGAATCTAATCATTCCTGTAAATCTGCCTAGCCTCCTGTCTGGTTGTATAATATTTTAGAACTATATCAGATGGAACAAACGAGTGAGCCTGCATCTGACTAATAAGTGTTCTAAATGGTTCCATATCTTCCTAAGCCCATTACATTACTCACTGACATGTATTCCCATAAGAGATTCCACAGAAATGTTTTTGGCCTTTTTGAGGAGACCAAACTAGGTTGGAAAACACTGACATAAATGTTTTCTAACAGAACGAGCTGGAAGTGAAGGCTGGCAAGTACTCCTACTCAAGTCACACCTTGGTGGAAATTGACGAGGCTTTGAACTCGTTCAAGCTTGATAGTGACGCCAAGTACTGCAAGGAAGAAGGATGCAAGGCCGACTCCATCAAGATGCACTCACACAGAAAAGGTATGTTTGTTATATGAATTAAGGCTAAAGTTAGGTAATGCTGTTTTAACTGTTTTTACATGGATGAAATTTTCGCTGCCATATTTCAGTTGTCATCTTTGAATTTACATTTTTCTCAATGGAAAAAACTTGAGTGGTTTTCAATTTTCATTGCTTTCGGATAAAATGGTTTGAGTTTCTTAACAAAATGTCACGTGAACATTAAAAAGGTAGGAACATTAAATAATGTGATTTAAAGTCCCAATCTGGAAAATATGAAAATATTTTGGGAGCAAACATTTTTAAATCACCCTGTTAACTTAGGTATATTCTCCAATTCAATTTAACTATAAGACATTCCAAGGCAGAACCATTGGACCCTATCCCAAAAATTCATGCATTGTCTGGGTAGATGAGTGGTTATAGTGCTTCGCCTAACAATTAAAAGGTTACCGGATCATGAGAAATACGCACCTAAGTGATGTCCCCATCTCAATTGATAATAATTTAATTACATGTGTACATTAAATCCATTGATTAAATATCTTCATTCAAAATTATTTGCGATCTTGTGTGGTTGGGTACAGTCTACATACAGCTTCGTACTGACTGTTGACAATTGTAGGATTTGAGGAGTACGAGGCGACCAGCGAGGCTAAGCTGGACATGTTGACTCACATTGTACTGGACAACCCTCTGGTGATCAAGAGTCATTACAAGAGAACCGGCTGGAACAGAGACAACCTGCTGGAGGTGGAGAACGGAGCGGACAAACTCAAGTACCACAGCTACATCAAAGACGACCAGTCTGGTGAGTGAAGGAGAGATGCAACGGTTCTCTTGTGAAAATTTTCATCATATTAGTGATTGAAGGTCTTCTACAAGTTATTCCTTGTAAAACTTTTCTTGAATATCAGATAATAACCTTCCCCTACCCCTAACCCACACAATTAACTGGAATAAACAATGAGAATAAACATTGAACATAGAATATACAAAGATTGTTTTATAAACAGAGACTATTGATCATGTATATAGACTAGTTTTATTATCTAGTGGTTAGAAAGAGATGACTTGACACAACTGATTAGTTAGTTCAAATAGTGCCAGTTCTGTAACTAAAATTTGATTTCTTTTTCTGAAGAAGGCCCTTGTAGGAGGCGGAAATATCGAGTTTACTGTGTTGTGAAGTTTTTTGTGCTTTCTACTACATGGAACTCTTTTCTTAGATAAGTTAGTTGTGTCCATTCCTTCTTCCTTAATGTAAGTCGTTTGAAAGCCATTTGAGGATTTTTTAACTATTTCAAGGGTTTCTATATATAATAATATTCTAAGTAAGTTTTTCCTCCAAAATTAATTTTGAAGGCTTATCTTTCAGAGTTTCAGATTAATTTTTTTACAATTTCTGTTTTTACACAAATGTTTATGTGTTTTTTCTTCATCATAAAACCTAAAAATTTTTATACTATTCTGACTAAGCTATAATGAGAAGCACGACAGTATTCATATTTGTGCAAATTTAGAAAATAAAATTTAAACCATATTCTAAACATTTTCTAATCTCTTGGTTGTACTTTCTCTAATAAATTACATTGATTCTGTACAGGAGTGGAGCTGACCTTACCCAAGCGAACCATCGCTGTAGAATCTGTCTACGATCTGGCAAAGGGAGGAAAACCGGCGTTCAAGATCGAAACCAACTTCTGGCTTGATAAGAAGAACAACCCTAACGACAAGACAGGTCTGCTGTTGGCTTACGAGGCTACCAAGGTGGCTGATGGTGTTTCCACCTCGAGCGAGGCTAAGTTCAACACTCCTGGACTGAAGGTACAGCAAACGTGTAGATAACATACAACAGATAAAGATCGTGTCTATCATGTATAGAGGGATTATTGAAATGCTTCCAAAAACACTGAGAGTCACACAACGAGATGTTTAAGTATTATATTAATCCAATTGCAATTGATTATTGAGATGGCTAACTGAGAAACTTGAGAGGTCAACTGTAAGAAATCTTCTCCTCAATAAAGAAGCATTTTAATTTATTTCATGCTTGCTAAAAAGTGATGTTGGTGATGAAAGTTTCTTGTGTGCATGCAAATCCCACTTGCCATTCAAAAATGAAACATCTACAGCTTTAATAACCAGTCTCAATCTATTAATTGTGATGATTGTAACCCTTTGAGCAAATAATTTTAGTTTGTGAATTGTTACCTAGCTTTTGCCTGGTTGACTTTTATTTTCATATTACTTCTTTCTACCTCTTTCTTGAGCTTTGTACAGCGTTATATCTCAATTTCCTTTAATTTTATCTCAATTTTCCTTGGATGATGATTTCAAAACAATTTGTTTACAAACACAGTGATGTGTTTTTGGCTTCAACTTATGAGAATGGTGTTAGTTTTCAACTTATTGATCGTGGCTGTTTAAATCATAACTGAGATATTCAGACCTCAAAGACATTGTAAACACAATCGCTAATGTAAAACCATAGAAGCCACAAATTTCCAACAGTTATACAACTGAACATGCTATTCTGTTTTGCAGGAGCTGACCGTGAAGGGAGATTTTAATGTGAATTTGAAGGATCGTACAATCCAAGGTAAGCTGGAGGCTGACGTGTTTGCCAAGAAGAACCAGAAGATAGTTGTCGACTACAAGGCCGTCGCTAAGAAAGACAAGGACAGCTACAATGCCCATGACACCCTGCACATCCACAGCAAGGTACGGAGCAAAAAATGCATTACGATAAATGGTGTCAAATAATGGTAAGATTGTATTTTTCAAGAGAATTTGAGGTAATCCACTGAAGAATTGTAACTACTAAGTGGTGTAGTGGTAAAAACAAAAATTTAAAAATCTAACTGTAATGCAGCGGTATATTTGGAGAGGGCAGGCACACTACTTTTGTCAGCACACAGTGCTATCATTAAATATACCCCTAATATGTCAACCTTTTGGATAAGCAACAGACAATTTTAGTGTTTAGTGTGTTGGCTTTGTTCGGTTCATGTAGGGGTGAGCAGTTATTCAATACTTAAAAATATTTCTATAGTTACATTTTTAAATGTATAGCCTATGCTTGATAATTTTTTTATCTGCCAAGAAATTTTTTTTGTAATAAGAACTTTATTTAGTATCTCCGAATACAAAAATATTACAGGTGCTACTATTAAACATATTTGGTAATTTTTCTACATTATATGCAAGTGGAATTAGAAAAATACACTTAGTTCTTTTAGTAAAATAACATACTTTTTCAACAGGCACTACCCATCGACTCTCAAATTGAAAGGAAATTTGAACTGACAAAGCAGGGCTTCTCTTACTTTGTCACTGCTTACTACGTCGACTCCAAGAATGCCAAGAGGGAATCTGTTGTCAAATTTAACATCAAACCTCTCAGCCAAGACATCCTGGTTAGTAACACCTGTTGTTAAGTTTTTATCTAAGTAATTCACACTACTTGGACAAAATATTTTGATAAATTCACTAAATTTAGTGTTTTTTTAGTAAATGAAGTCTTAACCAAAAATAATAAGTAATTGTTAAACGTAAAAATATAGGAGTTCCATTTTTTCCAAACTAATTTTTTTTTGTTGCTGAAATAGTTTTAAGCGAAATTTTTACTTGGAGATTATCTCTTCTAGGTTAAACTTCCAGAAGGCACCATCTTTTCATTGGACTATGACTCGACCAGAAATGGAAAAGAAATACACGGAAAAGCTAAATCTGAAATTGTAGGACAACATTATGAAGAAGAATTTGATCTGAAACCCTACAGGCTGAAGTCTAAGTCTTCTACAAAGAATGGAGGTAAGTTGAATAAAGCAATACATTTTCAGCGTTCAACTTTTATTTTTTTTTTTTTTTATATACAGGTTTACATTCCTTTTTCTTACATACATTTTCTTTTCTTTAAATGACTTGCAGGATTAAAATGTCATCAAACCTGATAGAAGTTTTGATTATTGAAACCCAGTGAAAATATGAGCTTGTTGTTTTCTTTCGCAATTCCTTACTAAGCTACTGATTTTTCACACATAGCATATGATTTCATAAACGTATATTTACATTTTAGTATTAACTTCTGTGTTTTTTTTTTTTTTACCTGTCCGGTCTTGAGCTGTACAGTTAAGACGTGTATACACAATATTGTTATTTCTGTAACAATTTTTTTAATATCAAACTCTCAAAGTCCTGCCAAACTCAAACGAAGAATATCAAGTAACTAACCACTTAACCAGATTCTTATCTCGAATTTCCTATGAATTTCGTAAAATGTTTGATCCAACACATTGTGTTGTGTGCAGACAAGAGCGGAGTGCTGGACGTAGACGTGGGGGCCGAGCTTGGTCAGCTGGCTGAGGTTAACCTCAAGTTCAACAGCAAGCCTCTGCTCAGTCTAGAGGTGGCCCTGGACGAAGCTCACTTCCTCAAGTCCAAACACAGCTACAACACCGACGTTGCCAAGGAGATCATTGTAAGTAGACTCACAACACGTAAAATCATACAATGAAATGACGAGTCATGTTCTCGCTTAAATATTGATGGATTCTTTTCAATCTTGTATGTGGTGAACACGTCACAACCTATTAAATTCACAAATTTTTTCATTAAACAAGGTTAAAAAGTCTGAATACTTATCTATCACTCGTTTGACTATCAATCTTTGAATGAGGTTTAGTTAATTCAAGTTTTATTCAAGTACAAAATTTTAAAACAAAAAAATTATTTTCAACAAGCTGCAAAATCCTCTCAATGCATGTCTGCAGAACAAATCATATTCCTTCCAAAGTCCACAAATCCGGTCAGCAGCATTCCTCTTCAATCTTAATTTAACAAACTACATGAATTGTAACCCCAAATATGAATGTTGAGTATTAAAAAATATAAATGATATTACGTTATATCAATAGTTTCAAAATTATCTTGCCAAGAGTTTTATATTCTTTTGTGAACATTTCACACCCATGATATCTTTACAACGCAGTGTCCTAATGCTGACTCTGTTATGCAACAGCAATTCTACAAGGATCACTACGTCGGCATTGCCAAGTCCGCCAATAAGATCGGCAAAGACAGCGCAGCCAAGTTGGCCACCGAGGTAACAGAGAAGGTCGAGGCCATCCGTAAAGCTCTGCCTAACTTCAAGCCTGCCGTAGAACATTACAAGAAGGAACTGGACCAGATGAAGGAAGAGTTCAAAAGCAACGAGCATGTCAAGGACGTCGTCGACTTTTTGTGAGTTAATACCTCGGTTTTGATAAGCCTAAACACTCTTACCACAAAGACTGATTGATAAATTGGAATGAGTGGAATGTAGAAAGGTTAACATGCCTTGTCCTTCTTCAAGGTATTATTCGGTGTATTCAATCGATCACTAGTTTCGGGTCAAATGACCCATTATCAAATCTAACGTGTGGAAAGAAAAGAGTTTTAAGTTAGTAATGATAATAGCATTCCTTTTTGTGAATGAAAATGTATCCTCGTCTCTGATTACTTCATGAGGGTCAGTCAGGATTTAAATATTTCACCTAAGTCCATTTTGAAAATTTTCCAAACGTCTGAAATGTCTTAAAAGCTGATACAGTTTAACTATTTAGTACTGTTTTTGTCTTTACAAGTCAAGAATTTATAATTACATGTCCAATACAGTTTGCCATTCAAATACCCCATTAACAAGTATTGTTAGAGCTACTTTCTTACTTAAATTTTATTTCGTTTTGGATAGGAAGAGGTTAGTCTTCGCAACACGTAGCCTAGGTATCAAAATCAGTTTATAATCTTCCTTTGATCAGTGGCTATTATATATTTTAATTTTGGCTGTGTTTATTTATGCCTTCCCTATTGGGAAGACTCGCCCACTGTTCAGGGAAGCCTGCTCTTTCTGTCCAAAACAAAATCAAACCTATTCTGGCCTAGAGCTCTTTACCAAGAATACCTACTTTCTTACTCATCTAGCCACTCAAATCACAAACGTTTACTAGGCTTGCCAAAAATCATGCCTTCACTTTAGGCTATCTTTTATCATTTCCTTGTCATTCCTTTCCTTGTGTCTTTCCCCGTCTCCATTCCAAAGGTATTCTTCCTTCTGGCCTTTGGTAAAGTTTATTAAATATCACATTGTTCATTGCAGGAAGAGAACGTTTGGCACTGTGTTTGCACAGATCAGCGCCATCGTACAAGAGGCAGTGACCTCCGGTCAACATCTACTGGAGCTGCTGAACCAAGGCCTTGAGAGAATCACTCAGTCCGTCAAGGCTACCATTCCCAAGCTGAAGGAGAGCTATGAGAAAGTCTCAGAAACTGTGTTCGCTATCACTGACGACCTGCTGAAGGTGATCACCTCATTGGTGGATAGCATCCTGGACAAGATCAAGGAACATGAGAAGGAAATTCAAGAACTCACTGATGTCATTTCTGACTTTTTCCATGGTAAGACGGGGTTTCTGCCAGTTCATTAACTTCATTGGTCCTTTTCCATGAATTCGCTACTACCTTGTTTTTTTTTTAGTTTGAAATGCTACTAATCCTTTAGGTTATTTTAGGTTAGGATAGAACCAAGACGTAACTTAAATCGTCAATCATGTATTGTTACATAAAATAAAAATTATACAGTGTTTGTGAATTAACGGAAAAGATTTCCATTCCTTTCGTTTATTTTTATAGGTACTCAAAGTAAATTTAGTAAGTAGAATTTAGGATTAAAACAACTTTCATTGTCAAAGCTTTCATCAGTTCAGAAAAAAATTAAAATTCACAAATCAATAAATTTTGTTATAAAATGTAATGACTAGGGTAAATGAGTGTTCCTAGTAAAAATTAACTAATATTGTTTTAGAAAATTGATTGCACAGTTGAGATAGCCAGTGGTTCTCCAAATAAGTGTAATCGTGTACCTCTTAACTTGATAAGACAGGAGTTTTGCAAGTACAGTTATTAATTATGAAACCAGATACTTTTGTTCATGTTGAATTGTTATGTTTCAGATATGGGTAAGCTTGGAGCCGTGTCCGTTGGTGAACTTCATAAGCAAGTTAAAGATTTTGTTACTACACTGTGGGAACAGATTCAAGCTATGCCTGCTTACAACATGATTCAAGAGAAGATCCAAGAGGTACTTTAATTCAGTCAGTTCTTAAATTTGTGGTCTCAGAGTGAATACTGTGTATTACTTTTCCAATATTTTTTCCTCGATGTAGAGTGAAATCCTCTGGACGACTTGTGTCATGCAGAGTGAATTTTGTTTTATGACTGTTGTCGACCAAAGACCAGGACTCTACAATGGGTGACTGTGGAAGCATGTCCATTGTAGATATAGACTGATTAGTTTAGTATTTCTAGACAGATTTTACAAATTTAACGAACCCCTATAACGCTTTCTCCATTTGCTCTTTCCTACAAATGTATTATTCTTACTTTTCCACCTCTTTTGTTATATTGAAACTGAAGCATTGATCTACAGCATTCTTGATGTAAAATACAATTTTTGTCACAGCTGAAGAACTTCAAGATCCCGCAGCAATACTGGGATACTTACCACGAACTGGTCACCTCGGCTACCAACTTCCTGCCGACCCCTGAACTTCAAGAGTTCGTCAAAACTGCTTCCGAATACTTTGAAAAGGTTTGTGTGTAGAAAAGTGAGAATCAAACATTAGATAGTTTTAAATACTTAAAAATATGAAATATACCTTGATTTACCATTGTAGAATAAGGTGGATAGTAGATAGCTTACCTTGAAGAAGTGCAGGTAGTATATGCAGGTGTGTATTGAAATGACACAGAACACACAATATTTTGTCTCCTTGGGGACTTTGTCAGGTATAAAGTCCTCCTTATTAAAAAATTCAAAATTCTGCCCTAGAGCTTCATCCCTTGAACAAAACTTACTTTTTTAAACTAATTTTCTAAGGAGAAAGGAAAAATACACAACTAACTCACCTGAATAAATTTTATTTTGAAGTTAAAAGTTTTCAACTCAGTAGTGTGGGAAACAAAAAGAGAAAAAGTTATAACAATTGAGACATTAGGTGAATGGTATGGATTGAATAATTTAGATCAATGTGCATGCCCATTATAACCCTTCCCCACCATCAACTATTTTTGTTATTTTGTGCAATCATCTCAAAAGTTGCTGTTAGATAATATGCACATTCCTAGTAGGTAAAGTCTTCTGACCCTCCCACTACTTTCCCTACATCCCATCTTAATTATTGACACTATCGTTAACATTTTTTTTTTACTAGGTCCAAATATACGTTACTAATTAGTAATTTTATTAATGCCAGTGTAGGCCTATTGAACTTTCACTTCTTTTACCCTACTCACCTGCACAGACTAATGAGTATACATTTTTGCTCGGTGCAGTGGTTATTGGTTGATGAATATTTTAACAACTTAAGTAGTAAATTGAAGCTTGTTTTGGAAAAAATCAGGTAGTACTAACTAATTTGTACAAAGAAGTACACAATACTCAGTTAAACTGGATAAATTCAGTTTGAAGCTGGCTTGCAAAGTAATGATTTATTTTGTTTGCAGATTGTAAAGCAACAGCCGTTCAACAAACAAGAGGCAGCCCAGGAGTTGTACAAGGAGTTTGTTGCTGCCGCTCGATCTCTCGTGCCCTTCCTCGAGTCTTACAAACCAGACACAAAGACTGGAGCTGTTCCCAGCTTCCTGGTGAGTTAATTAAAAATACTAGAGTGGTACTTTGTCAAGTAAGTCACGTTTAGATTTACTCTGTCAAAGGATCAAGTTTTCTACTGATGTGAATTCAAGGGGATTTTTAAAGTGATGAAATCAAGAGGTTATTTTGAGTGTATTGGAGCTTCTAGTAAATATTGTTTACATTATCAGTAGTTAAATTCCACTATTGGCAATTCCAAAGGTGTTTGTAATGTTATCTTGATGACAAAAGGAAAAGATTATGGTTTTGAGGTTCTTAGAGGTTCTACTAAAGATTTTTTTATACTACCTATAATTTAATATGTGTAATGGAAAATGTGCACTACATAGGATCATGAATTGAAAGTATTGGAGGAATTGTAGGTAATTTTTAGTAACAAGAATTTAGTACAGAAATATTTAAAATAAAGGAAATCCTGCAACTAGATAATTAAAATATATATTGAAATAAGGAAACCAAAGGTAATCAATATTTAAAATCAAATAATTGTGTTGAAAAAAACTAAAAAAAAGTAATAACAAACTTTAGAACTTGACAACTCTGGTAAGATTTTGTTTGTTTGTGTAAATTCTAGATACCGTAGACTGATCTTGAGTCAGAAATAAGTTGTGTCTAGATAAGACACGAACCTCAACATTTATTATTTGATTTACATTATGACTGTATGTGTTGGTGAATTGGTTGACACAATTGATCTTGTTTCAGTTCCCGATTCCGTCGTTCAGTCTGTTTGTCGCTCCTCCTGGTACGTTCCGCTTCAGTCTGCTCAACTGGGTGCGTTCCTCAGACCTTCCCACACTCTCTGAGGTGTTCCACACTTACAGGCCACAACACAGCCCGCTGGACTTCATTCCTCCGTTCTATGGTAACTTACAGCATTTATCAACACTTCAAAGGTTTATTGCGGACATTTTCCATCACGAACGTAAAAAACAATACACAAGGTTTCGGATCTGGAATCTGATCCCGTCCTCAGGTAAAAAAACTTAACTAACACATTACAACTAACAATACACAAACGCCCAACCTAAGTTGGAATACACTGCAGAGGGCAGTGTGTGTTGGGCGTTTGTGTATTGTTAGTTGTAATGTGTTAGTTGAGTTTTTTTTCACCTGAGGACGGGATCAGATTCCAGATCCCGAAACGTTGTGTATTGTTTTTTACATTCGTGATGGAAAATGTCAGCAATAAACCTTTGAACAACATTAACTCACCATCGCTAACAATAAACTTCAAACAAAGTATCAACACTTATTATAACAGTAGACACGAATGTCATTCTTAATTATAAAGACAACAGACAATCATGTACTAATATAATGAAATGTGTATCGACTGTTTAAAAAGAGTATTGCAAGACTACTGTTCTGACAAATATTGCAATATTATAAACAGTGGACCAGCGTACTTATAACTTACTCCAGGAAATTGGAAGTTTGTAGCCCGAAAAACATTTAGTCACACTTAACAAATAATCTTAGACACTGTATGTACTCATGTAAAAAATGTAAATATGTATATGTATTTCATATGTGGAAAGGTTATTGATTTTGATCAACAACTGTTATTATGAGATTGTAATAGATAGGCAATGAATATTTATTCTTTGTGTTACTTTTTTATCACACTACATACGGTATTTATCATCTTGCACTTCAGCATTGATATAGTTTAAATACACGTTTGAAGTGCTACTATAGGGTTTTCATTTACCATTGGTAGTTACAATAACCCATATCATAAATTTTAATCAGTGGTAAAGCCTTTTGTAATTCTAAAGTTGTTAACACTATCAACAAATATTGTTTGTGTATGTATAGGTTATGGACTTTCTAATAATAATCAAGAAACTTTAAATGTAAAACTGTTATTGCTGAGTACAAATGAATAAATAAATAAATAATATTAATATCCAAAATCAATGTTCAGCTAGTGCCCAGCTTCTGGGAGGCACCGAGTTCTTCACTTTTGACAAGAAACACTACAGCTTCAAGGGCAGCTGCAGTTATGTGCTCAGCACCGACGCTCTTGACAGCAACTTCACCATCGTCGCCAACATGGAGGGAGGAAAACTCAAGTCTATCACTGTCTTTGACCATGAGAACAGCGTGGAGTTGCAGCATGATGACACGGTAAGTCAAGAAAATCACTACGTCAAATTTGAGGGTTATTTTCATATCTCGACCCTTTGAGATTTGAGATATATATACAGGATTGCCTTGATCGGTAAGGTAATAGCTACGGTCTTTTCCACAAAAATTTAGGTAAACGGTCACATTGGATTTTCCTGTTGGATGGTCAAAGATACATGCCAATATAAACAAAAATATAATTCTCGGAAGGACAGCAACACTGACCTAAAAACTTGTATTTACCCAAAATATTGTTTTTTTTTTCATTTCTGCTGTGGTTATAATAGTGAACAACTTTGGAACTATAGTCGGGACCACGTAAGTTTGCAGTTGGAGGCAGCCAATCACAAGACAAGGCTAGTGCGACATTGCCACATCGCACATTGACAACACTAATTAAATTATACTAAGCAATATTTTCAAATCAGCTGGTATTATTAGATTTGGCAACACCACACGGTTCTCATTGGTTCATTCAAAACCATATGGTAAATAGGCTCCTCCCTCAACTGCAAACTTACGTGGTCCGGACAATAAATAATTCTAAGCCGGTGTGACAATAGAAATGACTGGTAGGCCAGTAGAAATGATCTAGCAGAATAGACAGCTGATTTTGAAACAATTCTGGACCGTTTGATAATTAGTTGTATTATTCCTATTTTTTAAATATTTTATTGATCCATTCTCTTGCAAAAGAGCTGCAAAACTATCATAGACAGTAATATCATAATATTATACTTTTTTTAGTTATCTTTCATCCCGTTCTAAGAGTGGTACAGTACTAAAAGTTTCGCTAACAATTTAATTAGCTTAACCGTTTTTTATTTGCATGATAAAATCCCTATACTATCCTTCACAGAAACGAATTGACATATTCAAAGAAGCTATACAAAATTACAAGAAACATAGTAAACATCAAAAGGAAAAGATAGATACAAGTAGTAAATATCAAGACACTAATAGATGCCTTTAGGGGTGTGCGAAGCAGCAAAAAATTTTCGATTCGAAGCAACAATTCGATTCAAAAGATTTTCGATTCGATTTGATGCAACTCGATTCGAAGCAATACGGTATTTTTCTATTCATAATTGTCAATTGAGTGGATTAACAATAATTAAAATGTATCACATTTGTGTAATACAAATTTTTGTTGATGTGGTATTAGGCCTATTTCATACTTAACATATGAATTTTAGGTGAAAAAATATTTATTTTCAATCATATGTATTAGAATAACTGCTGGAAATACCAGTGAGCTGCTTTACTTGCCTATTTCATAATTTTTACTTGAATTGGCTCAACTGCAAGAAAGAAGAAAATATTTTTTTTATCAAGACATTCATTCTCATTTTAATAACTGTTTAAATAACTAAATAGGTGCCGGTAGCTAAATTACAACAAATTTGAATGGAACTTAATATAAAAAGACCATTAAGAAATAAATTTACATATCACAAGTTTAGGGCCTGTGGACCGGCTTCAGGACTGCAAGCAAGAAGAAAATAAAAATAATATGTTTCCACCATGCAATATGTATCATTCATTCCCTGCCTCCTAACCTCCTTAGTATAATAACCTCACATTTACATTATTTGTTACATCATCATAAATAAAGAATTATTATTGGCATCAGTAGGCCTACAGCTTTACCTAGGCATTATTTTTATAGGGCCTAAAATAGTAATAGGCTAGAAGCAACATGTCAAGTGGAGAACTCATTGAAGAAAAGATATTGTGTAAACTAATTTCCTATAAAACTCAAAAACAGTAAATAACATACAAACATTGTTTATGGTATAATTAATAAGGACTAAAAAATGCATATCATGTCATACAGTAGTATAGACCTACTGCAAGAGATTAAAATCCTAAAACAACTGATTTTGATAGCTAATGAATGAAAAGAATTAAAAATCCATAAAATAAAGCCAAACAATATCACAACTAATTAGGTACCCGAAAAGTAACTCTTAAATAATATATAGAAGTTTAAAATAATATTAAATCAAGAGACAAGAAAGTTAAATGCTATCTTCTAGCCTAGTGCCCTTGGCAACACAGGTCAATGTTTTTAAACTACCCTCAATGTTTTTGGAACAGCAGGGCCTTTTTCTCTTAAGGAAGGGTAGTAGTATGTCAACAAAAACAATGAATCAGTCTCACCAGCCAGGCCCGGCAACGATGTGTGAATTCAAGGTCATAGACCCTCCCCCTCCCCTCTTACACCACCCGGTTGCTACCCAGTTGCTTCAATTGCTGACAAAATGCAAGTGATGAAACAAGGGAGTAGAGACAAAGAAATATATTTCTTTATTCAAAAACACAAAACTGTTAGAGATTATTTTCAAAGAAATTAATTCAATGTAATTTGTGAGTTGTAAATATTGTATTGGATCTTAGAAATATATTTTTTTAACCCCATCTAACCAAGATACAGATCTGTTCACAATATCAGATATTTCTTTTGTTTATAATTTATTATGTAAAATAATAAAATATATTTTTAATTAGGTATTGAATAAACAATAAATGATTATACTAGTATGTCTGGATAAATAGTCTTTCTATTCTTTTGACTTTGTTTTCTTTGCACTGTTAGTGTTGCGTCACGGCTTTTGTCTTGTTACTCTTATCAGTAGACGACTAGACCTGGCTCTGGCTAGTGGCAGTGCGGCAATTGCTCTGTTGTGTCTTTATTCTTAAAGGTCGTGAGCCAACTTAATTTTTAATTCTCATTTGAACATTTTAATTCCTCTGTAATAATAGATATAATAATATAAAAGTGTTTCTTTGGAAATAAATTATTCTTTTTTTTTCTTTTGCCCCAACAAAAATTCGGGGACGGGGACCGGCAGACACCTAACAAAAATACCAAATGAATCAGTCTATAACATTAATCTTACTAGTTAAGTATTAAGTAACCATTTTTCAGACTTATTTTTAAAATGATTTTGGAGTAACCTACCTTGTTTTGGCTAGGTTCACAGTAGTAAAATATTTCACACACTGCTTTCATCAAGACAAAAAACAAACCTCTAATCATTTGCAATGTCAAAACAAAAAAATATAAAACAATTAAAGCTATATTTAATGCAAAGAATGTATTAAATAAGAACGCCTTCGTAAAGGAAACGCAACAGCAACGCGCTCCTGTATTGCGGGTATTGCATTGACTTTCTGCAGGCGTTTTTCGTATATGGATACTGACTCCCTCGTGAATCGAATCGTTTTTTGACCACCACTGAATCGAATCGCGATTCGATGCATCGAATCGAATCGAATCGAAATTTCGATGCATTTTCGATGCATCGCACACCCCTAGATGCCTTATTCTTCAGCTAATCCTTTAATGATACACTTCTAAGGAGTATGTTGGTCACAGGTCCTAGTCAACGGACAGCCCGCAGACCTGCCCGTGAGTGTGGGAGATCTCAACATGTGGCGCAAGTTCGACTCCGGCACAGGATTCGCCACTTACTCTGGACTCATGTTCTTCTGTACACCTCACCTGCAGTCGTGTGCATTCAGCATTAACGGATACTACTTTGGCAAGACCCGCGGACTGCTGGGAACCTACAATAACGAACCTTACGACGACACTCTGCTGCCTCAGGGCAAGGTGAGACTCATGATTTTATTTTGTGTCAACATTTAAAAAATGCAAAGAAATTTTGGAAATTGTTTGGATATTTACTTTTTTTAAGAAATTTTATCTAGTGAATGTTCTTAGTTCTTCTAGTGAATTTGTTGTTGTGTCACAGCTGGCCAAGTCTACTGCAGAGTTTGCCAACTCATGGAAGGTAAGTCCTCAGTGTGCTGATGGTGCAGTACATGACTCTCCAGCCGCTCCTCAACCTGAATGTGACAAACTGTTTGCTGGCGACTCCAGTCTTAGGTTAGTAAACTATCCTATTTGTTTTGTAGCTATTTGTTTTACAAATTCAAACTAATACAGTAAATTGAGTGTTTTATTGGAAAAACGAATTCATAGATGGGTGTCTAAGTAGGTATATTGCATGTCTGGTAAAAATCAGATTGCCGGTTACAGTTTTGAGAAGAGCCTTTTGATAGTTGGAAACTGGACCGAGCTGTCCATGATCGTTAGGTTTTCAATTAATGGTCCTGATTAAAAATATAATCTTGCGTCAATAAACACACACAAGGCATCTTACTCCATCATACACTGATCAGTAGGTTAAAATAGGCAGCATTTCCTTCCTCTCCATATAATAGGGTACCATACTGGGTTTTTAAAAAACAATTTTTAATGTTTTATATTTTAAAATAAATTATTCAAAGGAAAAATAGCTAATTACTGCAATTGGAAAGAAACTAACTGCGGACTAATATTCAAAATATGATATTCAGGTCTGTTACACTTGTGGTACTTCTACTTCAAAACTCATCCACTTTTTAATCTACTCATTGTTTATGTGAATTATCTTCATCTTGTAGAAGTATTTAACATTCCATTAATTATTTTTTAAATTTTAATGATGACAGTTTTACGTTTAGAATTTTTGTACTCATACATATTTTATGTTTTGCAGGGGATGTTTCTCGTACGAGAATCCGGACAGGTTCCGTGAGGCTTGTAACCGCCAAGTTGCCGAGGCCAGTGGAGACGCCAAGCAGGAAAGGGCTTGTAACATTGCTCAGAGTTACACCGGTTATTGCTACTATGTACACTTCGTCAGGACCAACCTTCCCGATCACTGTGGTAAGATAGTGCAATAGAACCTCTCATGATGGTAATTTAGGGGTTAGGTCAGGCTGTGAATCAAATAGTTAATGATTGTCCCATAATGGCTCCTCCTGCTTTTGCTCAGTCTGTGTAGTTGAACAAAGCTGGATTTCATAAAATATGTAGGGGTTAGCTTATTTATAACCAAAGGTAATTGCATTTAGTACAGTTTGTGCTGCAGAAGTTAGGGTGAATACGATACCTTTATTTGCTTTTAGACTGGTTTCATGATTTTAAATTAACCATTGTAGAATTATACATTTCTCTACCAGCCTTTGATGGTTGTTCCAATCCTTCTTTGGACATTGCCACTGGAATTTCTATAGCTTTGTTTACTAGTTTCATAAGATTTTTCTGTACATGTTTATATGCGTTTTTTTAATCTTCTTTGAGTTTATCATGTCTCATCTGTGTTTGTGTAAAACATCTGTGGATGTGCATGAAACTTAATTTATTAAAAACGTAATCCAATTTGTTTACTAAAGAAAAGGAGTTTTAACCATATTAAGATACTTTGCAAAAATTGGATTGCCTTGTGAAAACAAGCTGATGTTGGTTTTGTTTCCCAGGCAAGTGCCAAGTAGGCTCCCAGAGTATTCAGATTGGAGAGTCCGCACCAGTCAAGACCCCTCAGAAGGAAGCGGACATTGTGTTTGTTGTTGAACAGCTGGAGGACAACCAGGAAGTGTTCAACAACCTGGTCACGCCTCTGGTGTCCACACTCACCAACGACCTCAAGGAGAAGGGAATCACGTGAGTGGTTAACTTTACCTAGTATTCTGTTTGTCAGATAGCCAAATTAGCTGTTTCCCAATGTTTCCATTTGGGCTGCTGTTTGGTTGGTAAATATATTTTTTTGACATTGGCAGCACTGAGAGTTTCCATTTGGCAAGGCAGTGACTGGCTGAAAAATTTGACCTTAATTACTGACATTTTCCCTATTTAGTAATATGAAGTTTTAGGTAATGAATGTAAAAAATACTATTGTATTTATTAGGATTTCAGCTAGCTATACAAAACGCTCCAGACCGATATTTCAATTCATAACCTCTCCAGACTCAAATAAATCCTGATTCCATATGAAGTCATTGGGAGTCTAAGACCAAGATTGTGGAGGGATCTATTATCTCAACGATGCAGTTTCACTTGTGTTGTAGTTGTAGATTCCTATCCTAGTGACTCCTGGAAGAATACAAATTCTAACCTTTTTTTTAAATACATTTTTGCTTGCTTAAATCATGTATAATAGGAAATTCACTACAATTTTCACTACAATGATTATGAAAAATATATCACGTTCATAGAACCAATGGTAGTAGAAAGACTAAAACCAGACACTCTCCACAAACCTTTGAAATTTAGGATGAAATTCCATACCTATTGTTCTATTGAGTTCTAGTTTGAATTGTAATGGTAGTCCATGATGTTTCATACTCTGTATATCGTAGTTTTACAAAAACCGATGTTTTTTTTTAGTGATGTGAACTTTGCCCTTGTCGGTTACGGAGCTCCCAACCAGAAGTGGCCAGCAGTATACACCTTCAACGGAAAGTTCAACCAGTTCCCCGGAACCGCCAAGAACATTCACTTTGACAAGAAACCCGAAGTTGAGAATCCCAAACTGAGCGACAAAATTGAAGAAATCTTTAAGAAGATCCAAATTGAAACTGGTGATTAATTTTTATTTTTACATATATACGTTTTGGACTGGGTTTAAGTGTAACATTTGATGGTGAATGCCAAGAACCTAAATCATTAAAAAACTTCAACATTTTCTGTCAAGTTAGCTAAGGGTTTGTAAATGAGTTATAGACTTAATTATTAGACTAAATCTATATACAACAAATCAAATACAAATAATCTTGTAGAAGCATGCAACAATTCAATATTATTATTTTTAATACATCGTAAATGAAGAGCGAGCTGGTCTAGTGGTTAGAGCACGGGACTTTGGTTCCTGAGGTCCTGGGTTCGAATCCCGCCAAGTCACCAATGGATTTTATGTAAGTGATAATGCCACAACCCTAGCCTGAAGTAATGTGAAAAACAACTCAAAGCTCGTGCCTAGTATCTTAGGGCAAAAAAATACATGGAAAGTGCAAGTTATAACCCTATAACTAAAGATTAATATACTTGGAATTTTTTTAAAATTTTATACTTTCAACTTTCTATATTATATAAGATTTTGTTCTCTTTTAACCAGGCATGTCTAAGGCAGCCCAGGCTTTCAAAGAGGCAATCCAATATCCATTCCGCCCTGAAGCAACCAAGACAGTGATTGGAATCCTTTCCTCCGAATGTGAGAAGAATGTCTTACCGGTAAGTTAATCGTGCTTACGTTATGTTTAGTTTGGTAATGTTAATATTTGATTTCAACTTTTTAAAGAATGTAACATAGAGCATAAGAAACCAAGGTTTTTAGAACTTTTAGCAAGGATAGGCTTGCCTGGATGGGAAAGAGTCCAAACTGGCACAAAACTCTTTCTCAGTTGAAAATGCTGACAGTGTCAGTAAAATATTTGAATGTTTTGTGTATTGTAGTCGTAGTGTAAGCTTGTGTTTCTTGTACCAGTTTGAACTCTTTCCCAATCAGGTAAGCCTGCCATTCTCCCTAAAAACTCTAATATTTACAAAATATTTAATTCGGGGAGAAAACTGGTCTAGTTGTAGATCGTGGAACTTCGGTTCCTGAGGTCTATCCTGAAGTAATGTGAAAAACACTGCCAGTCTAGAGCCTTGCGTCCTAAGATCTGAAGGTGGGACGCAAAAAATATGTTCAATTCAATGCTTTTAAATACATATCATTTACTATCACGTGTCGTTCTCATCCAAGTTTGTCCATGTTTCAGTTCCGTTCCCTCAACATGCTCATTCACAGAGTTAACCTCTTGAAGGCCGGCATTTCTACCAACCTGGTCCTGCCCATCAAGGACCTGAGGATTGAAGGGAAAGATGAAAAGGTCGCTGCTAATATTGTTGGTAAGCATTTTAAAGCTCTTTTTCATTATTGTTCCTCTTGTAAACTTAAACATTCAGTTTTTCTTTTAGAGATCTACTTATGTCCAATATGTTCCATTAATGTTTTAACGAGTTGTCTGTGCCGTAGGTTTTGACTCAGAAACAGTCTACACTCAGAGCGAAGCCAAGAGGAAGGTGCTCAAGGGAGATGAAGAAGCATTTAAGAACTTGAAATACGAAAATGAAGCCTGCATTGACTTTGCTCTCGGAGTAAGTCGATATTCAATACTTTTTGTATGAACTTTCAAAAGAACATTTTCAAATGGAAATGAGTCAGTTCTTTTTGGCACTGAATCATGGACCGTACTACTAGCAAAGAGAATCGAGCAATAACAACTGCATTCACATTTAATACTTATATATATTTTAGTATTTGTTCTCTCAGCCCTTTAAGAGAATCATTCCCACAGTTATTTACAACCCCCTGTTTGCTAATTTTCATTGTTAAATTTGGGTAGTTATAATTATATATTTTGATAAATTTAATCTGATAAACTCCTATATTGGTTATACGTAAAAAACATGTTTATCCTTTTGTCACCCTCTTTTAAGTATGTGTGTTACATCTGCTCATGCAACGTATTAATAATAGAAAAGGAACAACCACATATTCCAGCTGTTCTGACTGATTGACTTCCATTCCCTTTTTTTGTTTACCTAACGCTCATCTAAATACCCAATAACATAGACACCAGAAATATCCTCAAATTTTCAGCTAAATTACATACTTAGTTTAACAAAAATTTTGCTTACAGACAAACGGAGCAGTGTTCAGCTCAAGCAACTTTGTGAAAGGCAAGCCGCAGCTGAGGAAGAACTTCATGCAGGTTGTCGCCAACAAGATCGCCGAGGAGTTGACAAGTCAGGAGCTGCGAGAAGAGTGCAAGTGTGAGTTGGAGAGAGGGATGCTGGTCCGAACAAGATGCAAAGTTACTGGCCGCAAGGAGAAGGAAGCTCTCACTGTAAGTGTCCTTTTGTGTTTAGATTCTTCAGATTTTTTCTGTTCATTCACCTCTACTATTTTTTATCTTTCTGTTCATTCAACGTGGGCATATTATTATGGGTTCATTCATGCCACAGAAATTTTCACACTTAAGGGAATGCTCCAAACCCTGGTCTTGCAACTATATTACGTAAGCCTTTTTGTTAGATATCTTAACCCTTTGCGGTTGAATGGCGAGTAAGGTTGCCGCGCGCCATTTTCCCGTAAGCTCAAAAGTGACAACTCACAAAAAAATTTTTGACTTTTGTGGTTGAATGGCGAGTATAGGTCGCCGCACGCCATTTTCTCGACTCCACGAATGGTGATCCATACCATATACTCACTAAAATAAGAAAAAAATCGACCTCAAAGGATTAATTAATTGATAGCCCAATGACTTATGACATCAGTCCAGAACCGATCTTGCTTTCAATCAAATCAGCGTTCTTAAAATTTGAAAGTAAACACTTAATCCACTCGGCTATCAAACTCAGTTATTTGTTAAATGTTCCACATACTTCTCAGCAATTTCTTTTACTTTTTGTGATTGGTACTATTTTTTACCAATACAATTGTTATCAGTGTATTGGTTGAAAATAATTCTTTTGTGTGCAAGATTATTTTAAGAGAAATGAGGTTTCTGTTTTTATTTAAGATGTGTAATATAATTTTTTTATAGTGTAACCTCTGGCAGTTTTCACTGTTTTTTTTTTTTTTTAGTTTTATAAAGGTAAAATATTTTTATTTTAAAATACTCAGGAATGTGAGTTTGTTTTCAAATAGATCTTTAAAAAATTGAATTGCAAAATTAAACTTAGCGTTCTAAGGAAATTTTGTCAAAAGGCAAGTTAGTAGTAGTGTGAAAACTCAGGTACAAATAATACATTTGTATTTAAAAACAAACACTCTCGAAGTAATCTTTTCTAATTAAGTAGAAATGGAGCAGTCACCCTGTTGTGATAGCTCTATATTTGCACAGTAAACACAACAAAGTCATTAAACAACTTCCATAGGTACTTTTCCTTAACTGCCAGTTTGCAGTCTTGTTTAATTGCAATCGTTGTGGTAGTTGAAAAACGGATAAAATGTAAACTTAGATGAATTTTAATGGTTTTCTGACAGAAAACATAGAACTTAAATATAAATTAATTTTTAACATAAAAACTAGATCCTAAAAGTAATTGGAGTAACTGTAATGTCTGTTGTGTATGACAGAATGTAAAATGTGGGATCCAAGGATTTTTTCTTGTTTTTTAGAGGTTGGCAGCCTCTTTTAACCTTGCATTAGCCCTTACACATAGAATAATCAGGTGATACTTTGATTTTCAGAAAGGCGTAAAGGGTGGAGTGAAAGGCTGAGTTCTTCTTCTTCACTAAAGTATTGCTTCTTCATCTTCACAAGTCATTAATTACATCGTAGATTTTAAATTTACACTCGGCTCAATCATATCAATACAAATTATGTGTCTTATGCATACACTTTTTTACCAAATAGTCGTTATAGAAAACTCCTTGTTTTTTTAGTTTTGTACATTGTGAAAATCTGTAGACACCGTAGTTTTTTACAGATCATAGAAATATCCAATTGTATTTAATTTATTAGTAAAAATAATAATATTTAATAATTAATAACTTATAATAATGGTTATGTATATCTATTGCCCTAAGCGCATTTGCAATAATGCTTAGTTATTTACCAGTGATTTTTATATAGGTTCAATATTTTAAAGTGTTCTATATCATGTTTGGACTTTTATAGCAATTTATAAACACAACATATTAATTTGTGATTTTCTTGATATTTTTAGTTTTGTATTTATGTAATAAGAATGAATTTATCTAGGTGTAGTGATTTTGTAACAGTATATTACTTTAGTACTGTTGGCAGGCCCTTGTTATTTCTACGTCAAGTCGATTAATATAAAAAGTCCAGAACAAGTAATTTTGAGCTGTTGTTTATGTCCTATAACACTTTGCTGTTTTGTTTTTAATTTTATATGGTAAAAATCTGTTGAGGATTAAATTTTATTGTCAACATTCAGTTTATTTACACAGATTGTATGAAAGCTCTTTACACATATAGTACTTACTTAAAGAATTTTACATTTCTGAAAAGGTAACATGATAGCTACATTTCAATGCCAAATTATTTATAAAAATAAATTAATGATAAATAAAAAAAGCCGTCCTCAAATGAATGTAACATTTAATGAGGTATTAACTTGATTAAATTTACCATAAAAAAAGTTTTTAGCTCATTATAAGTTACATATTCGAACAATCAAATTTTTATAAATTGTAAAACAAACAAAATTTCCAACCTGTGGTAAAATGAAAGTAGTGGAAGACAGCTAAAATTAGAAACTATCATTATTTATGTACATATGGTGTAATTGATTGTATTATTAAATATTTTATTGTTACTTAGTAAACTATTAAAAAATAATGTTTTTTTTCTATTTCCTGTCTTAAATCTAGAATAATAAAGGAAAAATTTGATCAATTCCATTTCAGGACTATTAATGATCTGGTACAAGTGGATTGACTTTAATACTTCTTCCTCATTTTTTAACCTACAGGTTACTGTAACATATTCTAATATTAAATATTTAATGCTTAAGAATTGTCAAACATTTTTATTAATATGAAAAAATAATTTCTTTGCTGCAAAACTCTATAAAAGCCAACCCGTTTCAACTTTGCAAAATTCGACAGGGGATACAATGTTAACTGTCATCCCAAATCCACAATTTCCAGAGGGTTGCAGTGAACGCTGAACATGGCGACGTCACTGAGGAGTGGAGGGGGTGACCTGTAACTATACACCCAGCAAAGGTAATAAATATCAAGGGATGCGGCTAGTCAAGGGGTGTATTAATACTGTTAATACTGTTCAATGAAATGGCGACCATACATAGTAGGTATTTTAAGCCAAGTATGATTGGAAATGAGTGTAGGATGAGTGGCGCGATCTTGTAGTCTTGTTAGTGACTAAGGCCGACATTCCTTAGACACAGCTGTTAATTAATAGCCCATACAGCTAATGGCAAATAAGGGACCTACAGTTTATAGTGGAATCCGAACCACATTTTCCCTTGGTATACACGAATTGGTCCAGGATAGTACTGCGGATAGTCGTAGTACTCACTCGTGCGGACGTTAATCCACACCAGGGAGTATCGCATCCACAGTGCATGCCTATAAATATCCACAATTCGTGACCTCCTAGTAGCTGGATTACAGGACGACGCCACCCGTCAAACACCTTATATATGAAAGATACAATTTTTACTACTTTTGGACCTTCTGAAATGTGTAGCTACTGAATCATATATTTTTGGACCTTATGAAATTCACTAGCTTCACAGGATCCAAAGGACAGTTTCATTCAAAAGTTAACTTCAAAATTGTATGCTTACTTCTAGAATTCTAGGATTCTAGGGACCACGAATAAAAAAGCACAGTGGTCCCAAACTTCAAGTATTCCCTTTTATTAATACTAGCAAAATCATAGATAAAACATACACCCTTTGTAGATTTCTCATCCTTAAAGAACATCTAAAGCCAATTTTATTGTTAGATCTGTCGGGTGTACTGTAGAGTTTGTGTTTTGTTAACAATTTGTTTCTTCAGTCATTTAAAATCTAGTTTAACAAAATAAAACGATATAATCAAGCATAAAACAATAACTCGTACCCTAGCTATATAACCAAACATCAAAGCACAAATCATGAAATTAACCCTAAAATAATAAAAACAAAATCTCGTTGACACTAACGCCCAGTGTCACAAGACATGAACTAGACACGAAAAACGAGCTTCGAATTCACGATGGGATGGGAAGTCCACTTGTGGTTGGTTAGTCTATGGTAAAATGTATCTTGCTACAGTATGATGAAAAGTGCTTAAAATTAACTAAAAATAATGCATGAAATATTAAAAGCAACACTTGTATTAAAAATGATTTATTTCATAAATTTACTTTACAATATTTGCTGATTGATTTTAAATAACCACCCATCCTTTAACTTTTGCACTCCATAATAAATTAATACCAGCACACAAATATAATAAATACACCACTTTAAAGTTACAAAACAAAATCTTAATTATTGCTTCTTTATTGTTTTATACAGTTTTACTGTTTCTTAAAATGAGAACAAATTCAATAAAATCCAGGATTTCGATTTAACTGGTTGAAACACTAAGGAAGTATTGTTTAAGCAGAATAAGTGGAAGCACCGGAGTGACAGGAACAATTTAGTTTTAACTTCTTTTGCACCTTTTCCAGCAATGCAATATAAAAACATTCATTTTAATCAAAAAGATATTATTCTTCATTCATAAACAATTTCAGGTATACAGTGTATAACTTAAACCAGTGTATAATAAATATTAAACATTAATAACATTCCAATACTTCATATTTCATAGGCGATTACCAAATTCTATTTTAACTGTATTTCATACTTAATACATAATACTTTTCATTGAAATGGCGACCATACAAAAGTAGGTATTTTAAGCCAACAAAAAAAAAATAAACACAATGCTTTTAAGCTTATCAATAACAAATTACGTACATATAATAAAATGTAAAATAAGAATAGGCACTAAGGAGTCACTAAATTACGATTTAGGATTACAGATTAGTGAGTGAGCTAGTAAATAATCAATAATTTGCTATGGCATAATCACTATAAATACCTTGACTATTAATACAACTTCAGTATCCAATAGTCAATGATAATACGTAATTGGTGTTATAATACTTTTGAAAACAAGTCATGTTAGGATTAACGATAAAAAATCAATGAATTTGATTAAAAATGTACCAGATTGTATCATAATTGATTTCAAGATAGAATTAAAAATTAACAATATTTTAAAATTTTTCTTACTTCCCAATTCATAACATAACTTGTTTGTTTTTTACCAATTAAAACTACTACTAGGTTAATTTAAAATCTTAAATCTAATATTAATATCACAACCTAAAAAACATAAATATAATTTTGTTAATAACACAAAGATTAAATAAAACAATAAAACGTATAAAGGTCTTGAAGCTTAAATTCATTTTGGTCCCAGCCATTTCCATCTACAAGTAACAGACAATTATGATGACGTTTCAGCGTTTAGATAAGTAATCAATTATTGATCAAACAAATCACTCAAGAAGTTGTAAGCAAGGCCAACCATAGTAAAAAAACTTAGAGCCAAAAAAAAGCTATTCACATGTTTTAAAAAATCAAAACAAGTTCGTTAAATATTATATACACCTTAAAATGAAGTTACAGTCAAACTGAAAGAACAATATTGTATGATTACAGAATTTAAAATCCTTCAAACATTATTTCAATGATCGACATATTTTGTTATGGTGTGTGTACCTCACAAATCATAATATTATTAATTCATATTTTATAAATACTGCTATTGAACTATACGAAGGTAGTTACAAAATACTTTCAATCTGTGTTTAAATAAATTAACTATCATCATACATATAATTGTCAACATTGAAATATAAACTTTAAGTATGATATATCTGTAATTTTTAACTCAGAATGGTCAAAACAGTTACATGCAAAACCAAAAATCAAACAAATCTCACAGCCAAATATACAACTACATTACAATCAATACCCTTGGTTTTATGCTTAAGTAACAACCTATAAAAAATTAAAAATACAGTATATTAAAAGAAATAGTAAAATCTTCCCCCCTTGTAAGATGCACAAATAAATCTGATCAAAAATGTTACAATCATTTGATGACAGAATCAAACTACAGTTGCACTTTAATCGGTAAACTACCACTAAATATAACAAAATAGATCTATCGTGTTTGAAAAACTGTGTTTCGGAAGCAAATTACATATACTTTCAATATAACAACAAATCTACATAATAAATTCTGAAAAATAAATAATACAGCAAAAACTCAGTCCTTTATTCAGTCTACTCTACTTACAGTTTTTGGATTGTAACTGCTTTTTAAAATAGGTTAAGCATCTTCTAACACTAATTGACGTTCAAGCTATCAATGTTTAAAAGGCACATAACACAACTAAATGTGTAACCAAAGTTCAAGCATAACAAAAAAAAACTACTCAACTTCGACTTAATCGATATCGGTAAATTAAATTTACCACTGTTGAGAAAAAAGGACATGTGAAAATCCACATCTGGATACATTTTTATCAAAATGTATGAGAGAACATTTTCCAATCCATGAAACAACAGTAACTATATAAACTAGTCAGCTAATAAGTATGATATGTACTATAGCATTTAGTTTTTATTATCACACATGAAATAGCATAGCTATACAAGGCCTGTTGTGTAAGCGAATAACAATCTAACTTCTTTTAATATCTAAACATACTTGTCTACTTAATAAAAACATGAGCATTGAATCCATTTACATTTCACACTGAGTTAAGACTTTAGGGAAGTTACAGGAGTAAAGATACTTTACATTCTTTTAAGGCTGCTCCAGACATGCGCCATTCGCCAAGCACCGAGCAGCGACTCTCCGAATCACGAGTAAGGTAGATAGATAAGTGTTTGCCTATTTGGCAGGCAGCGAGCATTCTTGATCGTGTGTTGCCCAACAGAAACGAAAAACAAACAGTGGCTCGGAAAACAACACATGTGTGTAGACGTCTACACGTTAATCGGCAAATAGCAAGACAACTAGATCGCCGAACGTCAAATATTTAGTGCTTGGCCAGCGGCGCATGTCTGGAGCCTTCATGGAGGATGAAACTGTACTTTCAAACATGTGAAATTACTGTTACTTAACTTTGGTGAGGTTAATAAACAAACTAAAACCCTGTTACAAATTCACCGTGTTACGAGACTAAGACTGCGCTAAGTATATTTTACAATTGAGCCATTCATCAGTGCTTAGGGGAGCACAACAAGGTACGTTCCTTTTCTTGGTCCTCCTCGTTGAAATGAATCCTGGTGATGACAATGTCCCCGGTGGACAGTGTTTGTGACGTAGAGTCTGCGGTCGGAGCTGAGTGGCATTGACAGTCACACACCCCCCGGCTTCCTCCGCCACCCCCGCCCAGCCCCGTCACAGCGGCTGTCAACAGCGCCTCGAGACGTTCCATCTTGTCCAGACGATCCATGCCCGTGTCTGACAGAATGTCGTCCATCTGTTGCATCGACTCTGTCAGACTGCGAGGTCCGGAGCATGGACTCAACGCTTCACCTGCATCAGCCACTGATTGTTAAAATATGCAAGGTTTGATTTCTTGTGCTTTGAAAATCCTGTGTGATTTCAGTAACAGCTGTTTAGTCCTCGTGTGTACATCGTCAGGTCTAAAATCATCAGAGTTATGCAGTCCCTCAAAGTTGGGGTTGTAATTAACATTAATATTACGATTATCAACACATTAAGATGGTGATCGTTATTTGAGAGCCACACAAGAGACCGAGCAATTTTACGTTTTTAGACCTGATGAGCTACTTATGAATACAGTATAGTTAGACCTGACGAGGAATCGTGAGGACAAAACAGCTCTTTTTACTGTAACAACATCTTGACTGAAAGGTAAAATAAACCATCAATTCGCTGAACAAGAGGCAGATTTTCAATAGTGATAAAATGCTAAATATTGAGAGACACATTTGTAAAAACTACCAATCAGCTGAGTTCTTTCATGGCTACAAGCAGTGAAATACAAAAGGCAAACTCTAACTAAATAATCAATGGAGCTATTAGCAACCAAGTAAAATTGTTCCTACATTCTAATCGTACCTGATAGTGAATTGTCCGAGGGTGTTGACTTTCCGCTGTTGTAGCTATCCAAACTCGGGTATTCCCCATCTCCGTCCTCACCATCTCTGAGAGAAATACCAACAATATAAGTAACAATCATTACCAAAAAATTCCCTTGTTACGTAACCTAAAAAACACACACATACAAATTGTTAAAGTTAGAATGTTAGAATTTGTTGAGGTAGTACAAAAGAGTATGTTTGAAAAAATAATTGGATTCGTTTAGCTATTCACATTTTACTTTAGTGATCAACTTACTTCATCCTTCCTTCGAGTTTTTCAAGTTTTCTTGCAACTTTGTACGATCCCTTTAGTTTCTCTTTTTCTTCGTCAGTTAAATCCAGATACCTGTGAACATTTATTACCCGGATAAAACAGTTATGAATTTTTAGGTGAAAAATAACTTTGAACAAAACACTTAAGGATAGGGCCTACATTAACTCCTTAAGGATACAAGTCCTTAGGTCTAGTCAGGTCCCTAGGTATTAGGTGTTTTATCAGCAATTAATATTATGTAAAGTTTTGAATTTGGTAGTTTGAGTAAACAGAAATAATGACAAAATGATGAGGAGTGGTTTCCAGAGCATTGTGGTCCAGGAAAGAATAAGGAGAGAAGAAGGGTTTGTCACAAATTTAGCGGTTAGTGTCTCAGACTTCAGTGCAGGAAACTGGTTCAACTCCGGTCATAAATACAAAAAACTTCATGAGTTTTGACCGCTTTAAAAGTTTTAATGAATCCTTGTTTGAAAAGGGCAACAGGTGTAGAATATTAAAAAATAATTAGGCCAGAGCAGAATCAAGTGTACCAACGTTTTTTAAGTTAACCAGAAAATAATAAAATTGTGTAACATGTACTATAATGCTGAGTGAAGTAAGTTTTAGAAATTTGAAAACTTATCCATATCATAACAATAACAAATATAGACAGTGTAAACATTTGGATAAAATCACATAACATCTTATTATAGAACAAAATTATGACAGCTTTAGATTTTATTTATCAAAATGTCCACATACCTTTCGACCCATTTCATAGGGATGGACTAGATTGAATTTTTAGTTCGAGACGAGATCGAGACGGAATTTCCCTTCTCACACACAACGGGAAATGCATGTTCAAAATTTTTACCTGATTTTATAACATTGTTAGATAACTGTTTAAATACAAAAATAATGATAATAGGCAAGAATATTTACAATCTTTTATTAAAAACCATCAGCATAAAATTTTTTTTTAATGTACTACACGCCTAACTTATTAAAAATGCCTACGATTAGGAAACATAGTGATATCAGTTAGGTTAGAGTTCAACTTATCCTTAAATAAAATAAATCATAAGATAAAAGCAATATTAATTTTTATAAAATAGTTACTTGTTTTGACTTTTTATAGCAATAAAACATTCCTCACACTGCTTACACTTAACAAAACTTCCCAAATGTTATTAAAGTAATATTTACATTTAAAGAATTAATGAAATAAGAACGCCTTCGCAAAGGAAACGCAACTACAACACGCTCCTGTATTGCGGGTATTGCATTAACTTTCTGCAGGCGTTTTTAATTTTTTTTTTTTTTTATTCTCGTCTTGATAAAAATCTTGGCCAAAAAGAAATCTCGTCTCGTGTAACGAGATTTAAAATTTCCCGAAAATTTCCCGAAATTTCGAGACTTGACCATCCCTAATTTCAAAATTACCAAAAAAAGGGAAAATGTTTCTAGAAGAACAAAGATCCCCTCTAACACTAGAATAAGCTTTAGGTTAAGTTTCTTTAATACTTGTCTCTCTAAATCTAATTTAATTAGGCCCTACACTTTTTTCTCTGACTGTAAGTATTTTTTTTCAACATTTAGTCCTATTTTTATTGGTCTCCTGTAATTTCTTTTAAAACTTCCAACCATTCTCCTTCCATGGATAGGCCACACAAATTTAAAATTAAATCTGACATGAAATTATTCTTGACATTAATTTGATAACAATACCTAAGCAGTCTTATCTCCCGGTTGCTGAGCACGATGTTGCGGCCTGATTGAGAAGACGATGACAATTTGCTCCTCAAGTCGCTTACTTCACTTTCCACTTTCCGCTGTTTCTTGCGTTGTTTCACCTCTGTCGGACGAATATGCATGTAAACCTGTTCTTCACACAGTTCCGCCAGAAGACCTTCCCATTCTGAATGGATCTGTCTGTAAAATTAAGATAATTTTTTGTTAATAATTAGGATAGTTCAAATTTACAGAGTAGTTGAAAGAGACATATTAAATTTGTTGAAAGAAAAGAATTAGGCATGCAATTGTTGAGGGTAGGTGTGTACGAAGTAGACTTTGAGTAATACTCAAGTAACAAGTAAATTCTGAATTGAAGATAAGTTGAGTAGTTGGATGTAGGCTACGTTTACTTATAAATTTTGCCTTTGCCGCTATGCCATGTAGACTTGACCATTCCTAGCTGCTAGGGATATCTGACCCTTTGGTAGATTATACCTAGTGATTATTTTCAGCTGCTGAATCGGGGTAGCGGATTTTTATCCCCCTGGAATTTTACCCCCTGGGCAAACGTGACGTCACAAACCAGGGGGTAAAATTCCGGCCGCGAACTTTTGAGTTTCGATACATCAGCTCGATGGATTAAACGCGGAATTAAACATATATTTTCACGGTTGTGAGTTTAATCAGAACACATCAAATTATAAAAACCTAGAATGTACGGCCTGGATTTTTACCCCCGGAATTTTACTCCCGGAATTTTACCCCCCGGATTTTTACCCCCGGAATTTTACCCCCGGAATTTTACCCCCCGGATTTTTACCCCCAGAATTTTACCCCTGGAATTTTACCCCCGGACATTTACCCCCCGGATTTTTACCCCCGGAATTTTACCCCTTGGCCAGATATATAAATTAGTGAGAATGATTAATTATCGTCATTCAGTTTTAATTTAATGGTTTCAAACATTTTATTATTAAGTAGCCTATCTTAATTTATATGTAACATTAACTAATCGAAAAGGGTTTTAATATTCATTTTGAGATTCGAGTGTCAGGATTCGATCTTTGAAGCCAGCTAGTGGTTAATATGATCAAAATAAAACAGCAAATTCTGTGCACTTAGTTGAGATTACAAAATAAATAAATAAAGATAAGCTACAAAATAATGAAATGTTTACAATTAATTAAAAACAGAAATAAGAAAATCAATCATTCAATTTCTAAAATCAGCCAGGGGGTAAAATTCCGGGGGTAAAAATCCGGGGGTAAAATTCCGGGGGTAAACATCAGGCCCGTACATCTTCAGTTGTCTAAACGCTAGTTGTATGGACAGGGGGTAAAATTCTGGTTTTTATCGCTAATCTAATTAATCACGCTCTGACTATTTTCATTAGACTTCCAAATCCGCGGGGGTAAAATTCCGGCCGCGAACAAACTTTTGGCCACTCAGGTTACTACGTCATAGTGACGTCAGCTTTGCCCAGGGGGTAAAATTCCAGGGGGATAAAATTCCGGCGACCCGCTGAATCATTGCACAGTGACCCTTTGGTAGATTATACCTAGTGATGAACTGATAAAAGGCTAATCTCGCCCCCCCCCCCCTCTAGAAATATTGGTCATTAAATTTAACAGAGTATTGTTGTAAGTATTGTATTGAAAGTTAGTGCACGCTTATTTAAATTTTTTACTGTTCTTTTAAAAGTCTATTTTTGGATCTGGGTATTAAAGTTGTCAAGAATACATTTTTCAACAAGGAAGTTCCAATATTTTTTATGACAGATTGTTGCATTACTAGCCCAGGTAATGCCACTACAAACAAAAAAGAATCATTTTAAGAAAAAATCCATTTCTTATGGGAAACCTATCTCTTCTCTCTATATTTTAACAGACATTTTATTCATTCTCTACTTTTGTGTTAAACGTGTTTGTGAAATTTATGAACTTCATAAAATTTTTTTTAAATACCTGTAGATAAGAGTTCTTTCTAATCAAATTTGTTTTCATTAATTTAATTTTCTCTTATACCTATAAACTATTTTTTAGACTTAAGATGGAAGAAACTACTGTACCAATGTATTTAGCGAGTAGCTTACACAAAAAATTATAAGCTAGTAAGCCTACTATTTATGAAATTAAACACACCAAGTCAACAGTCTAAATGGCTGGTATAAATTATTAACTGTAACATATTACTAGGTGAAACCCGTCGAAATCGACGGGTAGGGGCATCCTCGTTTATATTGTCGTGTGGCTTCATTGGCAACAAATAATGCAAATGAAATAGCAATGTGGCATTTCCAAAGAGAAAAACATACCGTAAATTGGCTGTTACATAAATATTGACGTTTACATGTATTGTTAATCAACGTATCTTATAAAGGATAATGTGATCTAGTTTAAAAGGAATATGACCTTTCTGTCATGACAGTAGCTGCTTAAATAGTATTTACTCTTACAGCCAAAATATCGTGTTAGGCCTACTTTCAATAATGTTACCAACCCAGTGGGCCATAATATAGGCCACTGCAAATAATTTGTCAAGATAGGTACCATTTTAGGCAAGGTTTTTGTGTTTGGATTTTATTAGACACGATAAGAGCATACTGAACTTCTACTGCAGATGAAAAACTGTTGGAGAAATATAAGCCGATTCATAAATGTCACAATGCTACTTTGAGCATTTTGTAACTAGGGTGAGGAAGTTACATGGTATTTTTTAGGCTGCTGCTCAGTGCACTTTAAGAATATATTTTTCAGAGATAAATTAAATTGTTTTTGTTGCTGAGTAGCTTAATAACATTCAAAGGCTCTCTAAGTAGTCCAGTCAAGGAATGAGGTGTAGAGTGCGTGAGCAGGTAACTAAGCGATTCCTTCAGAAACTTGTTCAGGGGGCTTAGGGTGTTAACATACCAAAAGTCCTGACTCCTAGGTGGTGAGCCAGGGGGTGGAGAGGGGAAAAAGGGGGGGAGAAAGGTACGCATTTTGGGTTTTTTGATTATATCTCGAAAACTATCAACTTTTTGTATACTATAGTAAAATATAAAATTGAAGAAGATTAAATTTTCTACAAGAAAAGTATATAATGTGTTTATTTTGGTGCAACAGATTACGAGTTATAACTTATTTAATTGATATCTTATTAAAATCTTCTTCCATAAGAAATACATGTAAATTAGTATGCGAAATGGGGCGAATCCTATCCGCCCAAAGGAAATATAAACTATATTCTGGAAATCTTGACAAAATTTCCAGTAATTTGACACTTTAATCATTAAAATTGATCCAAAATTAAGGCGAGGGCGAGGTAACAAAATTTCGAGTTTTGGTGTTTTTTTTATTGGAAATATAAAAAAAAACCTTAAATCATCCCATTTTTAAACGCTCACCCTCGCTTTAATTTTTGACAAAATTTCATGATTAAAGTGTCAAATTACTGGAAATTTTGTCAATATTTCCAGAATATCAGTTATATTTTCTTTGGGCGGATAGGATTCGCCCCATTTCGCATACTAATTTACATGTATTTCTTATGGAAGGAGTATTTTAATGAGATATCAATTAAATAAGTTATAACTCGTAATCTGTTGAACCAAAATAAACACATTATATACTTTTCTTGTAGAAAATTTAATCTTCTTCAATTTTATAATTTACTATAGTATACAAAAAGTTGATAGTTTTCGAGATATAATAAAAAAACCCAAAGAAAAGTGTGGTTTTACAAAAAAAAAAAAAGTGTGAAAAGTGTGGTTAAATGTAGTGTGGTTTTTTGGGATGAAAATGTGTACCTTTTTCCCCCCCTTTTTCCCCCCTCCACCCCCTGGCTCACCACCTAGGAGTCAGGACTTTTGGTATGTTAACACCCTAAGCCCCCTGAACAAGTTTCTGAAGGAATCGCTTAGTTACCTGCTCACGCACTCTACACCTACTTTTGGATCATTCATTGACTGGACTAAAGAGTTCAAGAAAATAACATTGCAAATACTTCCTTTGGACAATTCAGTAACTCTCAATGAATGTGTGTTGTTTAAAATACAATTTAAAAGTTAACAGATGTTTCATTAAAAAGTATTAACCAGATGGCCAAAATGTAAACAAATCTGTGGAGGTATCTTTTAAAGGCTTCTGGGACAGAGCCCTAAGGTAATTTACTTTGTTTTTCTTTTGATAACTCATCTACAGACCAAGACCTTTCTTTGGACACCTCTACCAAGTTTCTACACCCAGTCGTTCTCTTAAATTAGTGGAGACAAAGTTTCCAATTAAATATTTAGATTCCCCCATGTTAATCTTATGGGAGGAAATTCAACTTTGATGGAAGATCCAGCCCGAACTAATAAAGATTTCAAAAAAATAAAAACACTCTGCAAAACTACAGATCAGGGCCATTCTTTTGACACTTTAATCATCAAAATCGGTCCAAAAATGAGGGAGGAGTCTGTTTACAAAAATCTGCTTAGCGTATTATATATATATATATATATATATATATAGATTATTGAAATCTTATTAGCGAATTTCCCATATAGGGAATAAGCTATTACCGTAGGTCTCATGATAAGACCTAGACCCGGGACCGATTTACTTTTTCGTTTTGAGGTCCCCAGAGGCCAAAAACACCATCCGTTCAAATTCATATATATATATTATATATGTGTCCGTTAGCGCGATAACTCGAGCAAAATTGATCCGATTTTGATGAAATTTGGTATAAACGTGTAAAGCAAAATTTATTCGAACGAGTTTGCGAACCAGCATAACCGGACCATGGGATCAGGGGTTTATGGGGGGTTTTTTGGGATAAAAATGGCTTTTTCTCATTTTTGACCCTAAAAACTTTAAATTTCTAAATTTCTCTCTAGACCATTTTTAAGAGCTTAAAAAAACAAATAATTTAGTATATTAAAGTTGTTTTTAATGTTCATTGACTACGGAGAAAATTAAAAAAATTGTAAATTTAAAATTCCCATGTTATTCTTATGGAGAATAAATAAACTGTTCTAGTTTGCTTGTTTATGGATATATTTTAATCAAATTTGGCAATTTGGCTTATTTCATACTAAGCTATCAATATTTCAATTCAAAAAACACACCTCAACATCTTCCCCGTAGCAGCAAACCTAACTACTCACTAAAATTAATGTTATTTAAATAGGAAATAAATCTGAAAATGTATAGGGAATATTTTAGTAGAAATCAAGCCGGGTAAATGGAAATTCCCTTAGTGTGCAGGTTTGCTGCGACGGGGGTATCTTTTTTATATACAGGCTAAATATATACACACAAAACAAGCCTAAACAGTATCTATTCAACAATGCCTACTTGAGCATGGCGTTGTACACATGTGGCACCAGAGAGAGAACATCGGCCGCTGCAAACATCATCATTTCCCGAGTGAGAGGTCGGCGCGCCCAGAACCGCTGGTCTCGACGGTAGACATTTTTCAACTGCTCCTTCATGGGGTTGATGGGAGCTTCATAGAGTTCACACAGAGCGTTAAGACTGATGTTTTTCACCTTATACACAGGTTTCCCAATCTGCTGGAGCTGCAGTACAGCATGGGCCGCCTGTAAAATGAAACAGTGTGTAGGAATGCCTCTGCAAGGCCTAGTGTGGTAGCAATAGACAGCTCACAATCCCTATGTTGTTGTTTTCAAATGTTCTTCAGAGACATGCATCAATGGGGCCTAAGCCTTACTGCAATTATTTTATAACAGGGTGTCTAAACAAACATTCGTCACTTATCAGTGACCGGTCGTAAAGTATTGGGCGTTATTTATCCGTTTTAAAGAAAGTTTCCTGAACTCAGAAACTGAGCTGATTAAAAACTAAGTAAATTATGAAAATGTTTACTTAGGCTACTGAATTTTACTTAGGCTATTTTAGATGTTGGAAACAAATTACGAACATATTTGGCTTAAAATGATTTTAGATCAAATGAGTATTATCTGTGAGCTCCTAATAAAAGGAAGAGTGACTTTTAAGACTTCAGTGGTTGGGGCATGCAATACACCCAGTAAAGGCTATTTAAATTTTGGTATATGATTTTAACTCCATTCCTAGCTGATCTAAACATGTAACAAAATTGTGATTTTGAACATTGGAAAAAATAGGCGTTAGAATACCTGAGTGTCAAAAACATTTCTCAGAGTTATGCCAAACTGGTTGTAGAGGTTGACACTGTCGTTGCGGCAGTCATGAATCACCTGAAACAGTTTATTATAGGTTATTACGCCAAATGGCAACTAGACTAACAAAAAATGTAATAAATCATATTTATTTGATGAAAGCAATTAGCTAAATAGACTATACACTGTTAACAGATTGAAAATATGTTACAATACAAATAAGTTTGCCAAGTGTAACCAGGCTTTGTTATTTGAATTAGCCTACAATAAGTTGTTAGCGTTGTCCCACATTTGGGTTTGTCCAGACATTACTTCACATTCAAGCTCAAGCGAGATTTTAGGTTTTACCCCTACAGTGTTACCTCGCTATTTCAAAGGAAGGGTGGAAACCATTTTTGGGGTGATTCTGGATAGCTACATGAACAAAATTTCAATTTGATAATATTTGTACCTGTAATATACAAACATGTTCTATGAATTATTTTTGGCAGCCTACAGTAACATGAGTCATAGGCTATAAAACTTGAACCATTTTTTACATTTAAAAGTGTCTAGTTGTATTTTTTATTGAACTTACCCTACCTATAGGGCCTACAACTTAAGCAAGCATAGCCTACCTAGTTAATATATAGTATTTCAGAAGTTGTTTGAATTTTTAATAAAATGTAGGTCATTACAGTTTACAGTTTGTATTCAGGATCTAGGAAAAACTGGCAACACACAAGTCACGCATGAATTTGTTAATGAGTAGGTCTATTTATTAAGTAAATTTAAGTTTAGAGACAAGGTCCAATCTAAGGGAAAAAAATGGTTAGACTTGTGTAAAGAACTCATAAACTTTACCTTGATTACATTGTCGGATTCCAACAGCTTCTGCAGTCCGCCTGAAGTGACTAAGGAAGGACATGTTATCAGATCAAAAATGTAGGCCTGCCCTGATGGCAGACCTATTTGAAAAAGTGTCAACTGTCCTTTAATCCCTAAGTTTATTCCTTCACAATCAAATGAAATGGCTGAGGGTGATTTTCTCATCACTTCTTCAATAATCTGCAATGATTCCTTTATGTTTGCTATAACTCTTGTTGACTGTACAATTTTATTCTTCCAATTGTCTGTGTTATTTGCTCCTAAGCCATTGTTGACTGAGGCCGCTGCTAAATTTCGATCCTTCTCTGTATTGTCAGCTAAAGTTTTCATCACCAATGAATTGATTCTCTGCTTAAGGCTGAGATTTTGATTTGGCACACCAGCACTTGACACTGATCCCTTCTCATTTGACTCTTGGTTCAAGGGTGATAATTTTAGACTGGCCATATTATTGTTTTGATTGTTATTAATGATTGTGTTTGCATCATTATCAACAAACTTATTATCGACATTTGGTTTGTTAATGGAGTTGATTTCTGCGACCTTATTTGGGGTTTGGATGATATTCACTAGATTGGCCTGAACAGTAAACATATTTGAGTGCATTTTTAGAAATGTTGATAGATCTTGAGAAGTCTTGAAAATTCCAAACCACAAGTCCTGAGGAAAGAAAGAGACGACATGGTGAAACAGTTGATCTACAAGCATAGGTCCTTTAACTTCGATGCATTTCTTGAAAAAATCCAACAAGCGATACGTAACATCAGGGTCCAACTTAACATTTTCTAACTCACAAAAAGGCTGAGGCTCTTTTCCTTCATATTCCTTTAACATCACTGTATCTTCACTGACGATAAATGCTTCAGGATATTTGCATAAGAAATCACGGAATTCACGTACATGTTGTCCTGATATATGGCGCACTTCAGGTGAGGCTTGTGATCTATGACCGAGAAGACTTTTTATAGGTACCTCTGTGCCTACACCATATTGTCTCAACTTTGACGAAAAATATTCAACAGCTTCTTGGACATAGTCACGTTTTCCTAAGTTTGGTCTACTACTGGAATTTGTATCTTCAGCTTCAGTGTGGTTAGACATAAATGAATTTATGGAAACATAATCCCCATCCACGATGAACAATGAAGGGTACTGAGCTAGAAATTTTTTCAGTCCTGACTGAGAGCCACCAGCTATCTGTCGCATTTCTTTAGTAAACCCCTTAGCACCGAACTGACAACTTAAATCATGAAGTGTTCTAGGACCTCCTTTATCCATTAGTCTTTCAAAGAAAAATAGTAAGGTCATATTCCTTACCAATTCATACTCTGAGCTATCCATAATTTTTATTTAATTTTGAGTTAATATTTACCTGAGCCTCAGTTAAGATTTTGAAGGTACCTGCCCGATAGCCATCGCTTTGTTGGAATCTTCCAAAGAAGTCCGTGCGATGAACAAATATTTTGTTTTCAGGACATTTCAACGCGATTTTGTTTGAGCCGACGACGACAAGACGACGACGACAGACATACTAAATTCCTTTGGAAACATATGACGTTGTCAAAACCCAGTTGCGCCAACGTTAAATAGACAATATGTTGTGAATATGTTGATAGCGTTACGCTTCTACAGTGTAATAAATACTATCATAAATAAAACAAACGATTAATCTCATGGTTTAGTCTATGTTACTATCATTAAATTTGGTACACTGATTCTTTAGGCATTAAATAGGAAAACTAAGTTGTTTTTATTCTTATCGGACTGATCGGTTCCTCCCCAGTGGCTCTGGAGTTTCCCATGTTAACCTTATGAGTACTCATATTTAAATGGAATTATGAATCTTAACAGCTGTTTCAATTAAACAAGTTCTGGAGGCGAGTTAGCGTAGCGAACGAGCTAACTTGAAGGCAAGTGAGCGCATCGAACGAGCTCCAACCTAAAGGTGAGTGAGCGTAGCGAACGAACTTCAACCAGGACGTGATTGAGCCATGCGACCTTACACAGTGTCACCGGACATAAGCTAGACACGAAAAACGAGCTTCAAAATGTACAATAGGGTGGAAAGTATACTTATGTTGGTTAGTTGGTTAGTCTATAGTTTTATCCATGGTTTTATGTATGATCCTATTAAACAATTGAACGTGAAGGTTTTTCACCATACCTTATACAAAGTTAATACGAGCAAAATAATAAATATACTACTCCACATTTTTACGTCTGGGCCAAAAAATTTTGTTCCAGCTTTTTTTCAAAATTTGTTTTTATGAACTATTTAATCAATTTACTCAACTAATAATTATGCTTTTCGTACTAAATCTTTATTATTTTGTGTGAAATAATTTTGGTTGGGCCATTGTTGGACAAAGGTTGGCTGGAAAACAGTTTAAAGAGGTGACATTTCTACCGTTGGCCAACTGTGTGGCTCCACAATTTACCAACGTTGGCCCAACCATCTGTGCTACATGGGTACCTTGACCATATTTTTATATTCCATGTTATGACAAACCTGTGTCGGAGTATTTATTTTTTTTAGAGGTTGGCGGCCTCTTTTAACCTTGCATTTGCCCGTCCACATAGACTATAGATCTGTGCGTGGAACCATAGATAAAACATAGCTATGATTTATCTATGGTGGAACGTATCCAGCCAAGGCCACACTAAAAAAACTTTAGTGTGGCCTTGATCCAGCAAAGCAAGGGGTGAGTCGGTTCGGTACAGTAAAAAGGTGAGCTGTACTGATTTAATATTTTAATGTATCAAACACTAGGGATTTTATTTTATTTTGTGTGTTTTTACGCCAGTGGGATTTGTTTACGTTTTGAAAGGGAACGGATTTTTGAACATACATAACATACGGAATAAAAGATTTATAGGACTCGTTTTAGTCCTGCATGTGAATGACGATTTTAATGAACAATTGGATTTAGGATGTACTTAAACTCTTATTTCAAAATCCACCCTGTGCCGGAGGTTACTTTTCCTCTTGGATTGGTTGCCACCACTTCTCGGGGGTGAGAAATGTTTCATGAAAAATAGGTGCACAATCAGGTAGTTTACTAATAATTCCAAGCAACTTTTGTTGTGTGAAAATACGATTTCAGACGACTTTTTACGAATTACTTGGGAAATATGCATTTAGTCGAAATACCCGTTGAGAGCAAAATATTCTAGCTTGTTTTAAAAACGTGTATTAATAATATAATGCAGACCCGTTGCTTGTTGAATGTTGATTGGTATTTTCAAACGCAAAAAATGGAAAGCTTCTAAAGTAGGTACTATAACCAAAAGCAAAATGCGTTTCGGGGAAAACTTTAAAGACTTTTAAAATAATTTTTAAAATCTTTATCTTTTTTATAAAGTTTCTTAGCATTAAAAGGGAGTTATGAAGAGAAAAAGTCAATCCCTATTTTTTTGTTGCAAAAATTGTTTAAATTGTCTCCTTTTTTCCAACTTTTTGGAAAAACCCGATGCCACTTAACAATACACTTGAATACGTGTCTTAGGTTCTAAAATGTTTAACCAGTTTAAATAAAATAATTTATTTTTCAATAAAATTGAGCTTGAGGTTAGAAAATCATGTCCGTAACCAAGGAATAATCATATTTAAAATATAAAAAAAAAACAACGAATGTAACCCAAAATTTTAAAAAGTACAAATTACAAAACTGCAAGTATTTCTTTAAACAAAAATTTATTAATAAATTTTTAAAATTTAATTTTGTTTATTTAATTATTTATGTCGGTACCATTCTAATATGATGGTCTAATGAATGTCTAAACACTCAACCACTTTCTTTTAGAAAAACTTCCAATTCAATACAGAAAAAAAATTTCTGCATTTTGAAAGCCGACCTCTTTCTCCCTTTGAAAGCCGAACAGGACATCGGAAAACTCAGGAAATGTCCAAAGTCCTTCTCGATTCGATAGAATGGTCTGCTACAGCGTCCGGGATTTTACCGTTAGTCTTGATGTCGAAAGCTGTAGTGTTACAACATGAACATGTACAATTAATTGTATTTTTATTACTTAATTTAAATTCAAAATATAGGTATATTTTATTATTTAAGACTTAGTCAATGCAGAATGCTTGTTAATCTAGCTGAATAAATGACTTTGGAATATATCCGTGAAGGATTATGTGATTATAGGACTATGTGATGTACTTACGTATTTATGATGAGGGCAAAATAAAAATCAGCTGCCTTTCTGTTGCACTTAATTGGACGTTAAGGCCATTAATTATTGTTATTTAAAAGTTAAAGACTTCTGCTAAGTGTCTACACTCAGTGAAATTTTAAACGAAAAGAAGCACACACCATCCAAATCCGTAAAATTTTTGTGACGTGAATAACACACCCCCGCAAACCCGGCAGTGCAATCATTGAATACCTACCGTAAATAAACAAATAAATTTTACCGGCCCCATTTTTAATATAAGTGCTAATACCTTGACTATATAATGATTTAATATTACTTGAACAGGGATTGTAAGTTATTATCCGTGTAGGGAGGAGAACGGAGAAACAAAATTTGCTACGGCATTTGTGTTTGGTTTAAGAGTAGAGTACTTTTTTAAACTATTTATATAGGTACCTTATATTAAAAATGAAATTGTAATTTGGACTATAAGTAGTAGCCAAAGGTCACTCCTATCGCACCACCTGTCAGGGCAGGTGGGGTGAATTAATTGAGTTTAAAGCCCATCAGGCGGAAATGGTTGCTTCCGGTGCTACGTCACTTTGTGACGTCATAGGTGATGTGTAATGGTAACAGGATACAGGTGGTAGGAGCTGGTGGTAATGGATAGGGGATGAAACAGCTGTCTGTACAGTAGTGTGTTTAAATAGCTAATACTTGTTCGTTTGCAATTGTCTTAAATGTATTGGGAATATCAACCAACAGCTACACCAAGGTTTTAAACCAAAACACAGCTTACATGTAGACAATAAATTGAGTTAAAATCATATTGTCGACGGTAACATTTAACAGTAGCCTACAGTATTGTACTAGTGCCCGCGGCGGCGTGGTGCAAGGTTGTGTCGTTGTGTCACCGGCCGCCGTGAATTAGGCTGAGGCCGCGAAGGGAAAGTGAGTGGGCAGTGGAACAAGGTCAAATGCCCCTACTCAACCTCCATGTGGATTTGTATCCACAGTTCTACAGTTTGCTTTCGGACATAGCGGCGGAGTGTTGTACGGTCCTGGGTCTATCGTTTGCATCGTTGATGCCATCGTAATACTACACCTCGATTGACTCAACAACACAAGGTATTGTAAAAACCAATTTTAATTTATATCTTATGTTAGATAGTCGCAGGTTAGCTGTTTGTGGTTAAAAGATGTTTATACAGAAATACGTTCCAAAAAGTAGATATATTTTCCCCATGTTAGTAAATATTTGTTGGTCTTAAAAAAAACCTTAAGTAGTGGTGTATTACGGGTACTGGAGACCGTGACGTAAAAAATTAAGTAAAATTAAATATCGTTTATATTTTGTTAAACAGTTTGACAGATCAGACTTTGTGGTCAAAATATGTTTATATAATGGAGTCTTTAGAAAGACTGTTTTTTTTTTAAGTGAATTATACCCAATTCCATGTGTCCTGACTTGTGCGAATCAAATAAATTAGTTTGCCATCTTCAACGTCAGGAGGCTTTGGCACATTTAATCGTGTCGGAAAGCAAACCTCTAAAAACTTGTTGTCATAAAAGAAAATAAACGTTTTACCATTTTCGTTTTGTCTTTGTTCTACTAATTGATAATGTTTGTTTTGTAACACATATTTAAATGTTACTTTTTCTGTTTCTATTGGACTTACTAGTTGAGGAAGCTTCATTTCTTGACATATGGCTTCGGGTGATAATTGATTAGAATAATTTGATCCTGATGCATTCCAATGTAGTGGTAATTTAATTTGCTTCTGAAACTTTAGACGTAGTGACATTGACTTGCGAAAATTGCTAGTTTTAGTAGTAGTAGATTTCTTTAAATCTTCTTTTATTCTCTTTAGTTTATCTTGTGTGATTGTACTTGGCTTATCCATAGTTAACATCAGAACAGAGCTAGCATATGTGAACAGTCTTCGTTGAAGGTTCGACACTGAATGATGTGATGTTGGAGGTTTGGAGACTTCCTTACTTGGTAGGTAGAATTACCCGACAGTAGGGAAATTTACCCGCGAAGCAGGGTAAACCTCCCAACCGACCCCCTCCCAACTGGCTCGCGGATAAAAGTAGCGCCAGCGAACGGACTGTAGTCAGTCTCACCCAACTGGCACAGCTGACTGGTTGAGTGTAGACTGACTGACTTTTGATTAAAACCTTTCGTTAGATTTGGCCAATCTAACTTAATGTTTTAGTCAATAGCATGTGCTGCATGTTGTTTTTTTAGCTTGTATCTTAGATGGTTTTACTTTATGGAGTGCATCGTGTCTTTAGTACTTGAATTGCGCAGAGTGTTGTATTTTTCTAATCATGTGATATTTCAGCTAACAAAGGATAAAGAAGTCCCCCATTAAA